GAAAGGGGACCATATTGCGATGATTATAATAAAACAACTTGCTAGTAAACTGCCACAATAATACAAAATGTCTTAACTTTCCAAGTCCCCCAAGGGAAAAACATGCGACACATGCAAAGTTCAAGCCAGTTTTCCCTTAGAAGCTCACCAAAAAGCACTCGTACAAAATGGATGCAGACTCGGTGGTCCTGAGCTACCAGCTGCGTGACCAAGGAGGTGTGTCTCACGAGAGCATCTTGGAAGCAGAACACCACATGCTTCTTGCGCACCAACTTTGAGTGAATGAAGAGAAATGTTCAGTGGCAACCGAGGCAGGATCATTCTGAATTCACACAACTGTAATTTCCAAATATAACCACAGAACGGTACCACAGCAGCCATTTAAACTATGGGGACAGCCACACTCCCTATAGGAAGGGGAAGGAGGGGAGAGTGTGCAGCGCTGAGCTCTGGAGGTGTAAGGGGTTCCTGGACTCATCTAAACTTACTGCACCAAGGGACAAGCTCAACAGAGACACAGCAGGCTACAGGCATGGCCAGCTGAGGGAAGGTCGACCGGGGCGGAGGGGATGGGGGAGTGGGTTGTAGGGTAAACCAAGGGTGGGGGCAGCAATGGCCGCTGCAGTCAGGAGAAGGGCGAGTCTTGGGGAAGTGTGTCCGGTTTGGGTTTCATTTCAGGAAAGGTGTGCCTGGTTCAGAGAAGCTGGCTTGCTGGGGAGGGTGAGGGAAATGGCCGAGCCAGGTCTTCGGGGGAGGGTTTAGGTCGCACCGACACGCCGGGCTCCGGCAGCAGCTCCAGTGCGCAGGCCAGGCAGACGTGAGGAGACACGGGCAGCAGCCAGCGAGAATCATGCCGGTGATGGGTCCTCTCGAGGAGCAGCACCGCTTCTTCATCTCTCCCAAACGCGGGGTGGTGAGCAGCCGTCATCGGCACCACAGCTACCTCCACGCTCCGACTCTGCAGCGCAAGTTTTCCCGCGCAGCTTTTGCGCCAGCGCACTTGGAAGCGCGCGCGCACAGCGCACGTGTGCACGTGTACGTGCACGTTTCTCCCGTGCCCCGACGCTGTTGCCAGTGCGGGCGAGCGAGCAGCTAGGGGGGCAGGATACGTAGGCAAGGTCTGTGGATTGTGTGCAACTAAACCCAAAAGGACAGTACATCGAAAGTCGAAAAGTATAAAGTAGCTGACAGACTTTAAAGGAAGGGAAAAAAAATCCATTTCTGCTATTGTTTACTTGCGTTTGACTGTTATTAGATTTAATTTTATGCATGAATGGTTGCCTGCGTGTATGCATGTCACTATATGCGTGCCTGGAGCCTGCAGAGATCAGAAGAGGGATCCACTGGCTCTGGAGTTAGGGAGGCTTGCAAGCTTGCCAGCTGACATCTGGGTATCTGGAACCAAAACCAGGTCCTGTGTAAGAACAGGTGCTCTCCATCCCTGATCCATCTCTCCAGCCTTTTTTGTTTTGTTTTGTTGAGTTAGGCTCTCGTGTAGTTCAGGCTGGTCTCAAACATGATATGCAGCCGAGGATGACTTTAAATTCCTGATCCCTCTGAGACAGGAGGATGGCTCCATCATTTCTGCTGTACTTCAGTTGTAGGAAGTCAGTAGTGCCAAATCACACTCAAGGAGAGGGGATCTCCCAAGGCATGGACACCAGAAGGTAGAGACCACTGGACGCCGTTTTACAGGTTTACCACAGTGTGCCCGCTATGGTAAAGGCAAAGAGATTTGTAAAAAGAAGGTTTTTTTTTTTTTTCCTCTTGGGGGGGGGGGCCCACCACGATCATTCATGGAGGTTTATTCTTAGTTATGAATGCCCGGTCTTAGTTTGGCTTGTTTCTAGTCAGCTTTTCTTAGATTATCCTGTCTACCTTTTCCCTCTAGGCTTTTATCTTTCTTCTGTATTTCTTACTTTCCTTCTTACTCCATGGCTGACTGAGTGGCTGGCTCTGAAGTCCTCCTTTCCTTGTTCTCTTGCTTCTCCCTCCCCTCATGTCTCCTTCTGTTTATCCTCTGCCTGCCAGCCCATCCTATCCTTGCCCCTGCCTTGCTATTGGTCATTCAGCTCTTTATTGGGACCACCAGGTGTTTTAGACAGGCAGAGTAACACAGTTAAACAAATGCAGCATAAACAACAGTCACACACCTTTAAATAATGTTCACCAACCGAGATTGATGCAGGTTGAAACAAAAAGAACACACTGAAATTTTTTTTTTTTTTTTTTTTTTTGGTTTTTCGAGACAGGGTTTCTCTGTGGCTTTGGAGGTTGTCCTGGAACTCGCTCTGTAGACCAGGCTGTCCTGGAACTCACAGAGATCCGCCTGCCTCTACCTCCCAAGTGCTGGGATTAAAGGCGTGCGCCACCAATGCCCGGCTCACATAGAAATTTTTAACTGGGTGATGGAATTATGAGAGTTTTTATTGTTTTATGAAATCAGCAGGTAGAGGAATCCATGTCCTTAAGAATGACCTTGAATCCTAATCCTCGTGCCTCCGCCTCCCAAATGCTGAAATTGCACTTCCTAGGTATTCTTCAGTGGACATGGTGACTTTTACAGTGAATTAAGTGGGTAGAGGCTAAAGCTGACTCAGTGGTACAGCATTGCACCAGGCAAGAAGCACCATAAGACTGGCTCTGAAGACTCACACATAATCAAATTATTAGCTCTGGAGTGTCCCATGATGGGCTAATAGAACAAATAATTATGGTGGGCAATACTATACAACTAAAGCAGGGTGGATGATTTGTCTTTGAAGTTCGTACATGGGCAGCAGAACTCCAGGATACAACCCTCCCACACTTTTGTTCCCCCCAAGACAGGGTTTCTCAGTGAAACAGCCCTGGCTGTCCTGGAACTCACTCTGAAGGTCAGGCTGACCTCGAACTCACAGAGATCTGCCTGCCTCTGCCTCCTGAGCGCTGGGATTAAAGGCATGCGCCACCACCACCCCACTGCATTCTTACTTTATACTCTTAAGCCACAAGGTGGGGGCACCCAGCAAGCAAGATTTTACAGAAATGTACATGACAGGTCAGCAGGTTGTTAAGGACAACCACCCATTATTTTAGCTATCCCTACAAATCATTCTGTTCCAAGTAGCAAGTAAAGAAATGCTTGGCAAGTAGGTAGTGCAAGCTGTGCTTTAAAAAACTCACTAGGGCCGGGCAGTGGTAGTGCACGCCTTTAATCCCAGCACTCGGGAGCCAGAGGCAGGCAGATCTCTGTGAGTTCGAGGCCGGGCTGGACCGACAGCCTCCAAAACAATACAGAGAAACCCTGTCTCGAAAAAAAAAAAAAAAAGAAACTCACTAGGGGCTGGAGAGATGGCTCTGTGGTTAAGAGCACTGGCTGTTTACTATTCCAGAGGTCCTGTGTTCAATTCCCAAAAACCACATGGTGGCTCAGAACCATCTACAATGAGACCTGGTGTCCTCTTCTGGCCTGTAGGCACACATGCAGGCAGAACACCACATAAAAAAATCTTTTTTTTTTTTTTAAGAAAAAGTCACTAAATAGACAAATCAATACGTAAGGATTGGTCTTTTCTACCTTATTCTACTATAGTATCATGTGCATGCAGGAGTCCACATGGGGCGGAAGAGGTGTGGAGTGCCCCGGAACTATCATTGCTAACATCTGTGAGCTGCTGACCAAGCTGGCCTCAAACTCAGACATCTGCCTGCCTCTAGATCCCCAGTGCTGAGATGAAAGATAGGAGCCATGTGGCAGTTTGAATGTAATTGGCCCCCATAAGCTCACAGGGAGCGGCACTATTAGGAGGTGTGGCTTTGCTGGAGTAGATGTTGCCTTGATAGATGAAGTGTATCACTGTCAGGGTAGGCTTTGAGATCTCATATATGCTCAAGTCACCGCTTCTGTCTTAGGGTTTCTATTGCTGTGAAGAGAAACCATGACCATGGTCACTCTTATCAGAGGAAAAACATTTCATTGGAGTGGCTTACATTTTCAAAGGGCTTGTCCATTATCGTAATGGTGGGGCATGGTGGTGTGCAGGCAGACGTAGTGAGGCAGACTGGTGAAGCAGCTGGGTGTCCTACAACTTGACTTGCAGGCAACAGGAAGGGGTCTGAAACGTTGGGCATGGCTTGAGCATATATGAGACCTCAAAGGCCACCCTCACAGTGACACACTTCCTCCAACAAGGTCAGACCTACTCCAACAAAGCCACACTTCCTAATAATGCCACTACCTGCGAGCTGATGGGTGTTATTAGATTCAAACTACCATAAGCCACTACTCCTGGATCCGTGATTTTGTTTCTACATAACTTATTGACCCAGTTTATGCTGCCCATACACTCCTGGGTACAGGGCCATCCATTAGAGTGTAGTTGACCTATCACGAGCTGCACCTTAAAGAAAACTGACTCTCCCACTTCCACATCAAACACCCACAGTCCCCAGGAGTGGAGGGGTCCAACAGCCCCTTCTCACTCCAGGCTAGGATGCTGACTGGCTCCATCTCGCATAGGTCTTGTACAGGCAGCCACAGCTGCTGCGTGTTTATAAGGGCAGCAGTCCCATCAGGCTCAGAAGACACTTTTCTCTCTGGTCCTCCTCCATTTCTGCCTCTTCCATCCTGTCCCCTCTTCCTCAATGTGTTCTCAGCTGCGACAGGACCTCACTTCTTTGCAATCAAAGGGGCCTGAATAACAGTGTCTCATGCAGAGCTCTACCCCACCCTCCAAGCAACGGAGACTGAGTGCCCTGCTTCCATCAGGGTTAGTCTGGGGATGAGGCAAGACAAAGCCATGATAAGCCCTCCCTCTGTGAAGTCCACCATGAGGAGCTGGGAGCCTGGAGGAGGGGGGTTAAGGAGGCCAGGGTTGGTAGTAGCTGACACTGGATTGCCCTACACTCTGCTAACCTTCAGAACTGCAGGGCAGAAGTGGCATCCATGCCCGTCCACAGAGTATCCCAGACCCCAAAAGAGGATAGCTGGACAACAGACCAAAGGATCCACCACCCTGCAGGATCCAAATAACCGATTTTATTAGGGGCTCCCGGCCGAAGCAGGTCACTCTCATGCCTTCTCTGACATGTACTAAGCACTTTGGGCCTGTGGCCTACTTTTTAAGGCCACACTGTGTGAGAAAATATCTCAAGTGCCTCATAAAACCAAACCTTTGTGAGAATGCTGGATTTCGGGGTGCTGTATTTGGTCTCTCAGGTGTCTCGTGTTCCTGGTAGCTCTCCGTCTTGGGAACGGCTACCCCTGTACAGAAAAGCTCCGGTGGCTCAAGGTCCCTCTCCAAAGCAGTGGGGACTCTGGTGCTGTACTCCCTTGCATATGGGGCACTCACTTTAGAACATGGGGTCGGACTCCTCGGGTTAAGAAAGGGGGCTGAGTGCTGGGGCTTAGCCAAAGGTGGCAGCCAAGGCATCTTGCTCAAGAATGTCACGCTCAGCCTGGCTTTCTCTTTGAAGCTGGGTGTACGTGCAGAACAAGGGAAAGGCGGCTGCCGGGCCCCTCTGCCCTCTGCAGGTCCCAAGCTTCCACTCCTCCAGCGTGCGGGCTGCTGGCATTTCAGTCTGGGGGACTCGGAGGTTTCCCTGGGTATGCATTCCTTTTTCTGGTTATTGTGGCCTTCTGTACAGGATGAGGCCCTCACTCTGCTGGAAGCCCTGTGTTCCGCATGGGAGACTCCAGACCTGACCATTTTCCTGCCCCTGCTGCTCTCAGTGGAAAATTCTTGGACCTGTCTTGGGCCACACCCGCTCCTGGACTCTGCTGCTGCCCTAGGGATCCTCGGAGAAGGGAGCTCGGCCTTAGGAGCCTCCTCTTGGATCTGTGGTTCTCTTGCTCCCCCTGGTGGTCTAGTTCTCCTGGGTTTCTTAGGTGGCATGGAGCCGCCCATTGGCTCTGACTTGAGCGGCCTACACTTCTCCAGAGCCTGGACTTGGATAGAAAGTTTTGAGCTTTTTCTTTCAAGAACTGGACGGCTTTGAGACCTGCCTGGAGACTCGGGGACTAACGGGGGTCCCTGGGACTCACAATGCTCTTCCTGTTGTCTTTGGCGTTCCTGGTCTGTGCGCAATCCAGGCAGCCTCACTCCAGCCCCCCGAGGCAAAGAGCAAGATTCTAAGAAGTGAAAAAGCAAGTAAGACTCCAGGATTCGTCGAGGGAGACCCCACCTCAGGTGTGCAATCCTCCTCTTCATGAGGGATTCCAGCAGCAGACGTTTACTCTTCTTGAGGACTGGCCATTTGTGCAGGGTGCTGAGGGAGACGGGTACACTTGCTAGAGTTGGGGTAGCCTGGGAGACTTGGGGACACAGGAGAGAGGGAAAGACAGAGGATGCCTGAGACTGTGGGTGGGCGTGCTGGCGTGTCAGGCTGGAAGCCTTTCCTGGGTCCACCCTTTCGTCCCTTTCTTGTTTTCTTTGAGAGCCGGGTTGGGCCCTCTGGGAGTTTTCACTGACCCCGCCTCTGTGCTTCGGGACAGGGACTGTGCCCCATCTTCTTAGATGTTCTTCAGGACAGGGGACAGAGTCTACGCCATTTGCAGCTACTGGCTGCTTGTGTCTCAAACTGAGAGAAGCATGCTGAGCCAAGCTGTACTTCCTGTCTGTGGGCCCCACTCTTGCAGAAGAGTCACCCTGGAGACTGGGCCTGGCAGCCTCCTTCCTTCTGACCTGGTCCCTGTCTCCTCTTCTCCGCGTATGAGACAGTTCAGAACCCCCAGCTCTGCGTTGTCTCTGGGACCTTACATCCTGGATTTCTGCAGCAGCATCTCTAGACTTGCTCTGGATTCTTTGCCCCTGTGTCTCAAACTTCCCATCGGCTTCACACACTGACTGCCTCTGGTCCTCTCCCAACGAGGCTTGGGTCTCCGGGCCACCATCACCTGTGAAATTTCTCAAGCTTCTCTTCCCCTGTTTTTGAACTGCTACATCACTCCCGTCTCCGAATTTTTGCTGGGTCTTCCACGCTAACAAGTAGGTCTTTCCGCGGACTTTACTTAACACTCTCTGTTTCTTTCTCCTGGCTCTCTGGACCTTTCCCCCATCCTCACTTCCAGCCCCGCTCCGGCTTGTCTTCCCCAGCGCCCCGTTTGCTGACGCCTTCTCTTCTGTGGTCTGTTCCCAGCCCCTCCACCTTGTAGACCGGCTCCCTGCAGCGTCAGTAGATTGTCCCTGGCTCTTGCTCTCAGGTCTCTGGGTCTTTGCATCACCGTCTCCAGGTTCTCTCTGGCTTCTCTCCTCTGGGCCATCCTCACTTCCCACCCACTTCTGGTTATGTAACTCTGATGAGTGGGTGCTTGAGCCCACGTTGCTTCCTAACCAGCTCTGGCTTTCTCCCGCGGCTGCCTTGGTCTCTGTCTCTCCGTCTCCTCCAGCTCCTCTCGGGAGTCTCACCCCTTGTGTTAGAACCTCTGCACCATCCTCACCCCTGGCCTTCTCTGCCTCCTGGCGCCCTGCTGCAAGGGTTGTACCATCAATGTTTCTACTTGTTATTTCTTCCCAGTTCTCCGCCTCAGACGTCTGCTTATCTGTGCTATCGTTGCCTTCAGTCTGTTCCTGATTCTTCTGTCTTGGTGTGTGAATCTTCTCGTGAAGTTCATTTCCTACCTGATCCTGATTTTCCTCCCCAAGTTTCTGGGTCCTCGTTTCATCCTTGCCCTCAGCCCCTCTCAGGTCTCTCGTCCCAAGGGCCAGCTTCTCCATCCCAGTTTCCTGTTCAGTCTTTTCCTCCTTCCTCCCTACTGCGTAAGTCTCCAGATCAGTTTTACTTCTTAGTTGACCCTGATTGTCAGCCCCAGGTACCGGGTTATTTGTCCCATCACCTCCACCTTGCCTCTGGTCACTCTCCAGTGACGGAATTTCTGCTGTGTGTTCCCCTCCGGCCTGATCCTCATTTCCCCAGCATGGCATCTTGAGTCCTCTGTCAATCGCTACCAGCACCAGTCTCTGATTTCCCCACAGCTGTGCCTGGAGCACCACCCAGTCCTCTTCTCTTATCTCCCTGAGCTTCTTGGTCCCCACCCGAACTTGACGTCTTGACGGATTCTGGTCCTCTTTCTCAGATGCTTGGGTCTTCCTGGCGTGCCTACTTCCCATCTGTGCCTGCATCTCCGCCGCTGGAGTCTGGACCTCATCCCCAGTTCTTACACATCCCCGATTCTCCCGCACCAGGACCTGGGTCTCTTCACTGTCCTCTTGTTTGACTTCTCTCAGGCTCTCCCTCCCAGATGTCTGGATTTCCACACCATCCTCACACCCAGTCTGACCCTTATTTCTTCCTTCCTCTGCCTCTGTATCAGTATTACCTCCGACCTGGTCTTGTGTCCCCTGACTTAGCATTTGGGAATTCTCACTATTCTGTATTTCTAATCCTTGGTCCAGGACCACTGCCTCATCCTTCCCTCTGGCTTCTTTCTGGTTCTTCTCCCCCAAGGCCAGAGTCGCCACAGCATCCTCCTTGTCCCCCCACTCTGGTGTCTGAGTTGCTGTGTCAGTTTTCCATGGAAACTGTTCTTGACTCTCTCCCATAGAAGCCTGGGTAGAAGGGTTCTTATCTCCAGGCTCCCTCTGGGTTTTCTTCCATACTTTCTCTCTTTGTTCTCTATCTTCAATTCCCATTTGGTCTTGCTTCTCCCACCCTGACACTGAGATCTCTCCATCAGTTTCCCTTACTACTCTCTGGTTTCCACAGCCCAGGACCTTAGCCTCGTCATCCGTCTCCACTCCAGAGTCTATTGGGAGGAAGTCTCCAGATGCTTGTATTTCTAAAACAACCTCCCTTCTGCTCTCTCTCTTGTTTGTATATTGCGGGGTGTCTTCACTATATTCTCTGCCTACTATCTGGGTTTTATCCTGTGGTTCTAAGGTATCTTCTCGGCCATCCAGGGACTTCTTGGTGGGTGGTTCCAGTTGTTGGTTAAGAAGACCAGGCAGAAACCCTCTGAGGCAGAACTTTGACCTCTGAACTAAAGGGAAGTTTGGGGGAGAGATGGTCAAAACTGGGGAGGTGGGATTGTACTTCAGGTTAACAGGCATCAGCTCCTCCTGGGAGGGAGCCAGCAGCTGTTCTATTCTTTGGCATATGTTCAGGGAAGGGTGGGCCTGGCTATTGCTGGGATACCAGGGGACCTGCCATACTTTCCAAGAATTGTCCTCAGGAAGAAGATAAGTGCTTGAAAAGGAAGAAGTACAAAAAATGGACTCAGAAGGGGTGTGGACAGCCCAAGGCAGGTCTTGGCATGGGTTCTGTGGAGACAGCAGGTACCGGGTGGCCCATTGTTGTCTGAGGCTCTTCCTGTATCCCCATCTCTGCTTCTGTGTCCATTGTTGGCCGGGAACATCCAGGTCCCTGATTTGTCCATGAGTAAAGAATTCAGGAATCATCCCAAAGGAAGTCTCGTATCTGGTGGATGACACTGCCCATCTCTGCGGTGGCACCTGTAAAGTAAACACTGAGAAGCCAAGCTCTAGCAAACAAGTTATCTCCTATATTCCCTACAGACCTGACTACATACCCCACTACCCAGGTGAAGGTGCTTGTGCTAAGTGGGGAGGGGGACTTCCCCTAAGTAAACAGCATTCATTCACCCAGAAAAAAAAACTGAAAGATTGCTCTGAGCCAGGCATCATTCTGTATGTTGGGTACCAATGTGAGTAAGACGAAGCCCCTGCTGGGACCTATATCCTAGAAATAGCGAAGACAACAACCAAACACATAGCAGTCAGGTTAGCGATGTGGCTCAATTTGCAGAGTCTGTGCCACCCCAATAATCACTGCACTCAGACAGTAGACAAAGGAGGATCAGAAATTCAAGGTCATCCTTGGTTACATAGCAATTCAGAGGCCAGCCTGGGCTGTCTGAGACCCTATCTTAAACAAAAAAAGCAGGTAAATGTAAATAAATGCAAACGAGGGGCTGACATTAACTCCGATAGAACAGGCAAAGAAGGCCTCTCAGAGGCAGTGATATCTGGCTGGAAAACTGAACGAAGTTAGGGGCAAGTCAGCTGACACAAATACTACATACAGGCAAGGACACCTTAAGTGTAAAAATCCCTGTGAACAGAACAAGCAAGATTATGTCCATAGCAACAGCAAAGACGCTCAGTGAGAACTTAATGCTGCTCAGTGGCATAGCAGAAGAAGAAGGAGAAACCAGGATGAAAGAGAAGAAGCACCCATGGGATCAGAGCACTGCTAGCAACAAGAAGAGCCCTAGGGGGCCTGGCGTTGGTGGCACACGCCTTTAATCCTAGCACTCGGGAGGCAGAGGCAGGCGGATCTCTGTGAGTTCGAGGCCAGCCTGGTCTACAGAGCGAGTTCCAGGACAGTCTCCAAAGCCACAGAGAAACCCTGTCTCGAAAAAACCACTAGGAGGTGAGATCGGAGACAGGTGTAGGCTAGATCCTCTCAGGCCTTGGAATTGAGGCAAAAGTTTTGGTTTTGTTGAGTTTTGTAGGGAGTGCACTCACAGATTGCAGTACAGGGTTTTATGTAGCGGAGTTTTGATATGCTTCAATGTCTGTCTGGCTCACGAGCAGTGTTGGGCGGAAGGTCAATGTAAAATACTTGCCGTGTGGTTTCGTTTGGGTCTGCACTATCAGCAATCACATTTGGGGGCTTTGGACCTTTTTTCTTTTTGCAGTGTGGGAATTTGAGCCCAGGATCTTCTAGTACTTGAGCCTTGGTCTGGGTTTTTGAGGAGTGGTCCTTTTTTTGTTTGTTACTGGGGGGGAGGGAGGCTTGGAACAGTATAGTCCTCTTCCTCATCAGCATCATTTGTCCTGAGTGCTGGGATTATAGGCATAAACCATACATGGTTTTCTTCCTTTCTTTTGAAACAGGGTCTCTCTATGTAGCCCTGGCTGTCCTAGAACTTACTAAATAGATCAGGCTGTCCTTGAACTCAGAGATCTTCATGCCTCTGACTCTTGAGTGCTGAGATTAAAGGAATGTAGCTCATGGCCAGTCTTATGCCTGATTTTCATTGCTAGTGTTAGAAGCCAAGGCCTTGTACAAGCTAAACAAACATTCTGTCACTAATCGACACACCTTAAGGGTTGGTCTGTTTCTTTTATCTTTCCCTCTATAGCTTTAAAAAGAGTTTTGTAGCCCTGATTGGCTGGAAACTAGATATGTAGACCAGGATGGCTTCAACCTTGGAACAGTCTCCCTGTCTCTGCCTCCTGAATGTTGGGATTACAGGCTTGTACCAACCACCACACAAGCAAGCCTATGTGTACATGCCATAGGATAGGTATGGTCAGAGGACAATTGGTGGGAATTGTTTTATCTCTTTCCACCATGTGGGTTCTGGGGATCAAAGTCAGGTCATTAGGCCTGGCAGCAATTATCTTATCCATTGAGTCATCCTGATCACCCCAACGGTGTTTCTTAGTGTGGGTGCTACACATGGGTGTATATGGCTTGTAAAAATTCACTGATTTGTACACTTGCAACTGTGTGTACATATTATAGGTTTTGGGGTTTGTTTTGTTTTTTTGTTTGTTTGGTTTTTTTTTTTGAGACAGGGTTTCTCTGTATTGCTTTGGAGCCTGCTCTGTAGACCAGGCTGGCCTCGAACCCACAGAGATCTGCCTACCTCTTCCTCCTGAGTGCTGGGGTTAAAGGTGTGTGCCACCACCACTCAGTTTATTATAGCTTTTTTAAAAGGAGAAAGGAGGTTATACCATGCAGATGCAGACAGCTGCTACTATGGTCCAAAGCTACGTGCTGGTGTCTCTGCCTGGGGAGTGTAGTGAGGTCCCCAGAAGTCATCAGCTATGACTTATGGATTGCATGCAGGGCTCCTAAACCTTGTAAATGAATTGAGTGTAAGAAGTGAGAGTCTGAAGTGACTCCTGGGTTTAAGGCCTAGGTGGTGACAGACCAGTAGAAACTCTTTAGTTCACCTTTGATACACAAGACACAGAACAGGGCCCATGTAGCAGTGACTAATGATTGTGATGCTAAGGAAGTATCTGCTTTACCTTGGTGGCATTCCTCTTGCAGGTCCTGGAGACCCGGTACCAGCACTGTTGGATCTGCCAGATCAGAAAGAGGCAGAAGACAAGTAGATTACCGCAGCACCGGGGATCCCTGCAGCTTTGATCCTGTGGCAATAGGCCCCTTACTGGCTCCCACTCAGGGCCCTGGAATGGACCCACCACGGCACAGGCTCCCAGAAGAAGTAGCAACATGGCAAAGCTTAGGTCAGGTGGATGGTGTTTTGGGGAGTGGGAAGGAAACACTGATGTAACTGGCTTAGTCAGTTTGGGGTGGGGTACCCCTTACTTCATAGTACCTCTGTCACTGAGGCCACCTCACAAAGGAGCCTGCTGCTGCTGCTCTTACAACTCTAGCTAATAGTTCTGGCTAACAGGCCCTGGGTAGAGGAAACCTCTCCTAGGAAGACTAGCCTCAGACAAGAACTGGTGTGTTATGCCTCCATGTGACCAAATGTCTAAATAGCAGCCTGGGTATATTTCAGACCTGCTCAGCTTTCCCTGACCTTGGTTCTAGAGCCTTCACCAAGGACAGTGAGGGAAGTTCCATCTGTAACTCAGGTCCATAAACCTGTGCCCAGCCAAGCAATGGTGGTGCACTCCTTTAATCCCAACGCTCGGGAGACAGAGACAGAAGAATCTCTGTGAGTTCGAGGCCAGTCTGGTCTACAAAGAGAGTTCCAGGACAGGCTCCAAAAGCTACAGAGAAACCCTGTCCTGGGGGAAAAAAATCTGTGCCCAGGTAGTGACTGATAAGTTAGGGTGATCCCTCAGCCTCTCATGGAAATGACAACTAGGCAGAGAACTTTTAATTTAAAGGATCTCAGTGGTATACTAAAAGCTTGCCTCATTGATGGGTTGTTGGGTACATTTGGACAAAAGGAATAGCGTCTTATGTTCTACAGCACAGCAGGATAACTATGATTGGTAAGGACTCACTGAATTTTTTGTTTCTGTTTCTTGAGACAGACCTTTCTAAATAGCTCAGACTGTCCTCAAATTCACACTGATCCTCTTGCCTCACACTGAATAAGTTAGTAAGAGGACCCTAGGAGCAAAACTACCTTGGCCAGGCTTCATCATATCACATGAGGTTCTTTTTTTTTTTTTTTTTTTGGTTTTTTACGAGACAGGGTTTCTCTGTATTGTTTTGGAGGCTATCGGTCCAGCCCAGCCTCAAACTCACAGAGATCCGCCTGCCTCTGCCTCCTGAGTGCTGGGATTAAAGGCGTGCGCCACCACCGCCCGGCAGCACATGAGGTTCTTAAAGAACTGTATCTCCAAATCACCGTCTTCTCCCCTCTCTTCCCCTCCCCTTGTCTATGTTTGTTTTTCTGAAGTTTCTGGCTTGGAAATCATTGTGTAACCCAGGCTGACCTCAAACTCACAATAATCCTCCTGTCTCAGCTTCCTAAGTGCTGGGATTGCAGGCACAAGTCACGAGGCCTTTACTTTATTAGGTAAAATAAATTCCATTTCTAGGGTTAAAGAATACTGCTCTGCTTTGAGGAGTCTTTACTTCTCTGAAACAGAGGTAACCTTGGAGGAGGAGGAGTCTAGGCAACAATACGGATGATGAAATCACAGAATTGTCTAGAGAAATGCTGGCCCTGAGAAAGGAGAACTCCGGAGGAGGAAGGCTGCAGTAGAGCCTGCTGAGCATCACCACGTGTGCCCTGGGTTAACCCTTTCTGTACTCTGGAGTGAAGAGACTGTCTTCCTGCCCGACATGAATGACAGAGTGATGTAACCTACCCAATCACAGAAAAATCCATGTTCCTGGTAGCAAGTCACACATAGCAAACTTAATTTCTTTGAACCCTCTCCAAAAGTTTAAAAAATAAATCTAAATCTTATAACAAGGCTTTTCTAATACCATAGCTTTTAGAAAAGGTGTAGTCCTGGCTGGCCTGGAACTCACTATGTAAAATAGACTGGCCCCAAACAGACATCCATGTGCCTCTGCCTCTGAGTGCTGGGATTAAGAACACAGGCCACAGCTCCCCGTGGATTCTGTTCTCTCTTGTTGGAACAAGCAGTAGCGTTAGAGGTCTGCTCTTAGTGTTCTTTGGCTGGTGAACCCTGATAATACAATGAGATCGGGACCATTTGTTCTCAAGCTGGCTTCCCTTGGGTGAGTCCTACCAGACTCTTTGTCCAAAATCCTGTTTTGGTTGCCATCATCAAAGAACCCAGTGAGACAAGCCCCTCCTTTCGGCCAGGCATGGTACCAGAAGAACGGGATTCAAAGGGGCCAGGGCAGAGCCCTCAGTGTGCTTGCAAAGTCAGACACTGAATAAGCATAAAGTCAGCAAATGATCCAAACAGCAAATGCAAGAAGGCTATAATTTTATCTAGCAAGGTCAAGGAATCAAGGTCCCAATGAAGAGACACTAAATAAAAATTAGCTAAACAAAGTAAATCACTTTGGTTATATTTCTTATATATATATATATATATATTTTTTTTTTTTTTGGAGGTTGTCGGTCCAGCCTGGCCTCGAACTCACAGAGATCCGCCTGCCTCTGCCTCCCAAGTGCTGGGATTAAAGGCGTGCGCCACCAACACCCTGCCCTATATTTCTTATATTTTTTATTGTGAGCCTAGCCTTTAATGGCTGAGCCATCTCTCTAGCCCAGTTATATTTCTATAATGACATATCCAGACAGGCTTCTTTGGAAAAGTTTATGGGCTGTAGAGATGACTTAGGGGTTAAAAGCACTGGCTGCTCTTCCAGAGGACCCAGTTCAATTCCCAGCACCCACATGGCAGCTCACAACTGTCTGTAACTCCAGTTCCAGGAGACCAGACACCCATGGCAAAACACCAATGCACATAAAATAAAATAAAATTAAAAAAAAAAAGTTTGTGTTGGTTCATAGTTCTAGAGATACAAGGGTCCTCATCCTCTCCTAACTTTCTTGTTGGCAGAGTGTCAAGGTAGCCATAGTGGTTTATGCTTGGAATTGCAGCACTTGGCAGGCTGAGTAAGGATCACTGTGAATTTGAGGACAGGCTGGGCTACATAGTTAGTTCTAGACCAGTGATCTACAGGGAGATCCTGTCTCGAAAACAAAAAATAAAAATAAAAAACAAACAAAAGAGCCGGGCGTTGGTGGCGCACGCCTTTAATCCCAGCACTCGGGAGGCAGAGGCAGGCGAATCTCTGTGAGTTCGAGGCCAGCCTGGTCTACAGATCGAATTCCAGGACAGCCTCCAAAGCCACAGAGAAACCCTGTCTCGAAAAACCAAAAAAAAAAAAAAAAACCTGGGGTCTGCTTTTTTTTTTTTTTCTTTTTGGTTTTTCAAGACAAGGTTTCTCTGTAACTTTAGAACCTGTCCTGTAGAGCAGGCTCCAGGCTGGCCTTGAACTCACAGAGATCCTCCTGCCTCTGCCTCTTGAGTACTGGGATTAAAGGTGTGCACCACCACCGCCCAGCATGATGGCTCAGCACTCCAGGACCTGGGTTGGGTTCCCAGCACCACGTGCCACCACGAACCTTTGATCTCAGCATTCAGGAAGCAGGGGCAGGTGGATCTCTGTGAGTTCAGTCAGCCTGGTCTACAGAGTGACTCCTAGGCCTCCATAGTGAGTTCCAAGCCAGCCAGGGTTACATAATGAGACTCTGTCTCAAAAACTAACAAACAAGACACCTAAAATAAGATGAATAAATTAATCTATCAGGATCCAGTCATAAAGGTTCTACTCTGATATGGTGGTTAATCTAATCCTAATTACTTCCCAAGGATCCCACCTTTAAACACTAAAATCAGATTGTAGCCCACCCTCTTAGTAATACTTTTTTTTTAGGGGGTTTTCGAGACAGGGTTTATCTGTAGTGTTTTAGAGGCTGTCCTGGAACTCACTCTGTAGACCAGGCTGGCCTCGAATTCACAGAGATCCGCCTGCCTCTGCCGCCCGAGTGCTGGGATTAAAGGCGTGCGCCACCAACGCCTGGCTTAGTAATACTTTTTGTTTTGTTTTTCTGAGACAAGTCTGGCCCAGGCTGGCCTCAAGCTCATTAGGATGAATGAGGATGATGGATTTCTGAACGTCTTTCTTCCACCTCCTGAGTGCTGTAATGATAAGTGTAGGATATTGACTCCTCTAAATACTATTAGCATGATTTTAAGAATCAAACTTCTGTGTAAATTCAGGAAAATAAGTCATATTCAAACCATAGCATATTTTGAACAAGACAGTGATTGACAGGAATGGAGAATAAATTGGCACATGCTCAGTAAAGCGAAAGGTAGGTAGGACTATAACCTGAGGGTAGGGGACAGAATGCTGGTGGATGAAAGACCAGACATGGCAAGTACTTAGGACAAATTTCTGAAATGAATTAGTCTCCAGAATATGTCAGCAGTTATTTGGTTGTTAACAAAATAAACAACAACAACAAAAGGACAAGATGACTCTGAAAAGAACCCAGGGAATAAATTAACTAGAAAATTAGGTATGGTGTACTGACTCACTACTCATGGTCATAAAAATACCATGTCCTGCCAGGAGTGGCAGCACAAATGCCTGTCATTCCAGCACTTTAGAGGTGGGGGCAAGAGACTCGGGAGTTTAAAGAGAATCAGGATTTCATCTTCAGAGAAAGTTCATGGGCAGTATGGGAAACATAAGCCTCATAGTAAAATAAAACGTCCAAAATTAAACAGAGAGACGGTTCCTTTGGTATTGTAGCCACCAGGGAGTTATCCATGCTACTGTACACAACTCTACTGAAACCCATTTTGGTCAAAATAAAGAAAAATGATGCAAGCCTTTAATCCCAGCACTTGGGAAGCACAGGCAGATGTAATTTGGAGGCTAGCCTGGTCTACAAATTCGGACAGCCAGGGCTGTTACACAGAAAAACCCTGTTTCAAAACACACCACACACACACACAAATGCATGGTTGAACAGGCCTGTTGTGAGATAATTTTTCTGTATACTGTGAAGATGTATCTCTGTTTTACCTTGCTTGCCAAGGCAGCTTCTGACTGATTTGATAAAGAGCTGAGAATGGCTAGTAGCTAGACAGGAGGGGATAGGTGGGATTTCCAAGGAGACAGAGGAACTCTAGGAAGAAGAGAGGCAGAACTCACCAGGGAGACACGGGAAGTTAAACATACAGTATGGAGGAGCAGTAACGAGCACATGGCAGAATGTAGATTAATATAAACAGGCTAATTTAAGTTATAACAGCTAGTCGAGAACAGTCCTAAACTAAGACCAAGCTATCATACTTAATAAGAAGTCTTCATGTCATTATTTGGGAGCTGGCAGTCCAAAGAAAGACAGGCTCCACAAGCCCATAATCCCAGCAGTCAGGAATCAGAGGCAAGCGGATCTCTGTGAGTTCAGAGACAGATTGATCTACAGATTGAGTTCCCTGAAAGGCAGAGCAGGTAATTGATCACTACCCACTGTAGAAGGAATCAAATGTGGAAGGAAGGCTGCTAGAAGTCCAAACCAGCTCAGCTAGAGTGTGGTCCATGTCAAAAACCAAACCAACCAACCAACCAACTCATTATGTATATTAACATGTCCTAATAAGAAAAAGTAAAGCCGGACGTTGGTGGCGCACGCCTTTAATCCCAGCACTCGGGAGGCAGAGGCAGGCGGATCTCTGTGAGTTCGAGACCAGCCTGGACTACCAAGCGAGTTCCAGGACAGCCTCCAAAGCCATAGAGAAACCCTGTCTCGAAAAAACCAAAAAAAAAAAAAAAAAAAAAGAAAAAGTAAGTAAAACTGAAACAAGAAAACCATCAGCCACTACTAAGGAGATATCTGTGAGGTGGTGGGCTAGGATAGATAATAACTGTAAATGTTCATAAAGCACATCTAAGAAGCAAACAATAAGGTCATACCTATGACTGTCAATTGGAATGCATAGGTTTCATTCTCCCTAACAGTGGAGGGTGATAGTACCAAATAAGTCAGAAATATAAAACAGCATCCAACAGAGATGAGGAGCAGAGTTCATGTCAAACAATCAGTACGCATTCTTCGGAATTTTTTGGAGATGGTTTTGTTTCCTTTTAACAAGCTTTGTCATAGTTGCACAAGATAACGTTTAGTGATTACAATGAAGGATCTAATTTGATATCCACTCTTATTATTGTTGTTATTATCATTTTATTTATTTGTGGTGCCTGCACCATGAGAAAGTCTAATGTATTGGGCAAAAGCCTGGAGATTTAAATGAAAGACAAGAGTCGTGTGTGTGTGTGTGTGTGTGTGTGTGTGTGTGTGTGTGTGTGAGTTCAAGGTCAGCCTGGTCTATAGAGAGAGTTCCAGGACAGCCTCCAAAACAATACAGAGAAACCCTGTCTTGAAACCGCCCCCCAAAAAAGAGTTTGTGTTTTCATAATTAGAGGTTGATGCCAGTGGGGCAAGGCCGGGGCTGTAAACCAGGACTAGAAAACAGGATGCACCCGTGGTTATTGGCTGACAAGCGACTCACAGAGACCTCCGTGAGGACTGGGGCCCAACATTTATTTACTTGGTTTTCTAAGACAGGGTTTCTCCTTGTAGCCCTGGATGTTCTGGAACTCACTCTGTAGACCAGGCTGGCTTGGAACTCAGAGATCCTCCTGCCTCTGCCTCCAGAGTGCTGGGATTAAAGGTGTGAGCCACCACCACCCTGCTTCTATATCACTCTTTTTTCTAAGGGATTTATTTATTTCATGAGTGTATTTGCCCGAATGTAAGTCAGGTAGAAGAGAGAGTTGGATGCCCCAGAACTAGAGTCACAAACAGTTGTTAGTTGCCATGTGGGAGCTGGGAATAGAATCCTACGGAAGAGCAACCAATGCGCTTAACCATCTCTCCAGACTCAGTAAATGTTCACTGTTACAGGCAGTTTGAATCCTTCCAGTTGCCAGATCAATCTCAAGGTCCAGTTTTAGCTTTGCCACTGTTTCACTCCATGGTGGGCAGGCTTCCCTTTCTCGACCTTTGTTCTCTATGTATAAAAATGAGGAAACTATTTTGCGTGGTTCTTAAAGATCTCCTCAGGTCTCAGCTTCTATGCCTCTGCAGCAATGAACTGGCAAGGGCTTTGAGTGGTATGGTCTTGGCTAGATTCAAATGATCCCAAGTGTGTGTGGCACCCTGTTAGAAAAAAAAAAGGAGGGTCTCTCGAGGGAGAGACAAGTACTAGACATGAATTTATCCTTTAATAACGGACTTTTAGTGAAGAAAGCACGCGGGGTGGTGGTAACCCATGCCTTCAATCCTAGTACTTGGGAGGCAGAGGCAGGTGGGTCTCTCTTAGAGGCCAGCCTGATCTACAAAGCGAGTTCCGGGACAGCCAGAGTTGTTACACAGAGAAACCCTGTTTCGAAGAAAAAGCAGGGGGGTGGGGAGGGGCCAGATGCTGGGCAGAAGAAAGTAGGTGTGTTAAAAGACTTCAAATGTAACCTGTCATTCAGTAATTAAACTCCTACTCCAAACCTCCCTAGAAATCACCTAAGTGAAGCCGGGCGGTGGTGGCGCATGCCTTTATTCCCAGCACTCGAGAGGCAAGGCAGGAGGTTCTCTGTGAGTTTGAGGCCAGCCTCGTCTACAGAGCGAGTCCCTGGACAGCCAGGGCTACACAGAGAAACCTTGTCTTGAAAAACAAAATAAACACAGAAACCAACAAACAAAAAAAGGGGTGGTGAAGGCATTGAAATGCTGACCCTTGAAACCCTTTGTGTTGGTGTGTCACTTTCCGAATGGTTTTTTTTTTTTTTTTTGGTTTTTCGAGACAGGGTTTCTCTGTGGCTTTGGAGGCTGTCCTGGAACTCAATTGGTAGTCCAGGCTGGTCTCGAACTCACAGAGATCCGCCTGCCTCTGCCTCCCGAGTGCTGGGATTAAAGGCGTGCGCCACCAACGCCCGGCTCACTTTCCGAATGTTTAATTCAGTTTTGGCAAATCAGTCATAACTAGCATGCTAATAAAACGAGTAAAACAGGTTCCCTCATCCAAAGACGATTTCTTTTTTTTTTTCTTTGTTTTTCCAGACAGGGTTTCTCTGTGCAGCTTTGAAGGCTGTCCTGAAACTCCCTCTGTAGACCAGGCTGGCCTTGAACTCAGAGATCCGCGTGTCTCTGCGGGGATTAATAGGGATGTGCAATCACCGCGCTGTCCAAAGCCTAGTTCAGCCCTCGCTCCCGGTGGGAAGGGGGCCGGGACGACGTCACTGCGCGCTCCGGGTGACATAACTTCCGCTTCCTCCCGCGCAGGCAGAGACTTCCGCTCGCCTCTCTGCGCGGCGTTTCTGGCTGTCTGAGGTGGGCAGTTCTCAGATCGCGGCGAGGCCGGCGCACCGCAGCCATGGTGAGTGAGCGCGTGGGGCCGCGGGCGGGCGGGCGGGCGCGCGAGGCGGGAGACGCGGGCCTCCCTTCGCCCCGTCGGCGGGAGGCGAAGCGCGTGCGCCGTCTGCCCAGGCCCGCGATGGCCGACCTCCGGCTCGGAACTCGGGCGGCCGCGGCGTGGTCCCGGGTGGCGGAGTCGAGGACGCAGTCCCCCGCCCGGAGCGAGCGGACCGCGGCGGCCGGGTCGGCTCTGCGGCGGTGGGCGTGGCCGGAGGCCGGCTAGGGGAAGAGGCGTGCGCAGCTGGGAAAAATGACCGCCCCACGTGGAACCGTGGAGGTGCACGGAAAACGCGGTCTCCATCCCCTTTCCTTTATTCTTTTTTCTTTTCAAACAATCTCTAGAAGATGGCGCGAAATCGCGGGACAGTCAGGCACCACCCACCCCTTTCCCACACCCGGTTCTGGAGAGTGGCTCCGTGGGGTCTGCATCTACTGTCCGTCGGGAACTAACACGGCTTAGGGAGTTCAGGGGCTTTTTCTTTCTTTCCTAAGGGACTCAGTGTGTAGCCCTGGTTGGCTTGAAACTCGCTACGTAAGCCAGACTGGCCCCAAACTCTCAGATCCGTCTGACTGTGCCTCTGGATTAAAGGCTTGTGTCCTCACGCCCTCAGGATTAAGGATTTTTGGGGGTTTTTTTTGCTTTTTTTTTTAAATTTGGGAGTCAGGGGAACGTGGGGTGTCCTCGGCTGGAGGCTCAGGAAAGACTCCTACCGTGAGACCGACGCCTCGGGTTCTGGTAGCAACACGTGTGACGATAACTCTTGATCGTCTCCACTTTAATGTGGCAGAGAGAGGGTTCCAGATCGCGTTTCCTGTTGTAACTGGTTGGGATTGGAACTTGGTAAGAAGGAAAGAGTTTGGCCGAGCCCTTTGATGTCTATAGTGGGATTTAATCAAGCGCTTTGGTTCTCTGCTTTGATAACTTTTCGCGCCCCCACCCCCGAGGTTAATAACTGGCTGCGCGTCGAGTTTGAGGAAGCCTCTAAACCAGTGCTGAACTAGTGGAACGTTTCGAAATCCGATGTTTCAACCGGTGCTCTGAGGTTGAACTTCGTAGCAGTTTGCACCGGCTGTGAAGTGGGCATAAATAGTTAGCTATAATACTTGCAGTGCAATCAAGGACCGGTGCTTTCTGGTTATGGACTGGAGATCCTGCTGCCTCAGCCTCCAGAGTGGAGGGATTGCAGATATGTACCACCACTCCAAAGCTAGTCGGACATTGTTAGGTTATGTATGGCTATATTTGCTAAGTCAAAATCATGCGTGTTTGACTGTCGGGTGTAGGAGATTAAGCTAGGGATTCGAGGTGGCTAGCCTGGACTGTGCAGCAAGCCTTGTCTCAAAAAAGGTGTAGGCTGATAATGACAGGCTAGTGCTTGTCTAGCATGCTCAAGATATTGAATTTGCGGAGCGGTGGTAGCGCACGCCTTTAATCCCAGCACTCGGGAGGCAGAGGCTGAGTTCGAGACCAGCCTGGTCTACAGAGCGAGTGCCAGGACAGGCTGCAAAACAATACAGAGAAACCCTGTCTCGAAAAAAACAAAAACAAAAAAAACTTGAATTCAATTGCCGACATGACAAAAACATTGTGAAATTAAGTGGTCTAACTTTTGGATTGTTTTTCTAACATTTGAGAACGTGGAGGTAAAGCTGGGCATGCACTTGGAGTTTCAATTACTTGAAAGGATCATTTGATTGAGCCCAGGAATTCAGGAACAGCCCATGCAACCTAGCAAGTTGGGTGGGGGTGGGGCAGATAAATGAACAAATCCAAACCTTTGGAGGGGAAAATGGTGAAAACCAGTAAGTAATAAATCCTAAGAGAGGAAAGAAACAGGACACCCAACAACACAGGATGAAGATTTGAACCCACTACGTTTATACTTAAAAGTATGGAGTCTAAATGTTCCAGTTCTCCGTGCCCTAAAGTGCATTTGTAGAATTCAGTAGCCTTTCTTTTTCGGTCTTTTGAGGCAGGTTGACTATGTCCCTGGCCATCATCAAACTTGTTAGCTAATAGTGGTAGATAAGGAGACCTGTTGGGATATGTATGTGTCTCTTTCCTTACAAGTTAATCCCTCCTGAGTCTAAACGATGCTCGCACGTGCGTTTTGTTTGTTTGCTTGCTTGTTTTGAAAGTCTTATGTAGTCCTGGCTGGCCTGGAACTCAGCCTAGAAAACAGACTGGCCCCAGATTTAAAGTGATCCATCTGCCTCTGCCTCCTGAGTGCTGGGATTAAAGGATACTGCCAACGCTGCTCACTGGTATGGGTTTGCATGTAGGATCAGAAGGCAAGTTGATTCTCTCGACAATGTAGGTTCTGGGAATCAAATTCAAGTTGGAGGCAAGCACCATCTCTTGCCCTGAATAGTCTTTGCCAAAGGATAAATCCTATGACAATTTTGGGAGTTTTTTGGTGTGTTTTGTTTTGAGACAGGATCTTACTATTAACTGGCTGGCCTGGATCTCAGAGATCCTCCTGCCTCTCAGTCTCTCTTGATGGGATCAAAGTGTAGGCACCACCATTCCTGTCAAGCTTTAGGATTTTATGTTTTTTTCGAGACAGGGTTTCTCTGTATGGCTTTGGAGGCTTTCCTGGAACTCACTCAGTAGACCTGGCTGGCCTGGAACTCACAGAGATCCTCCTGTCTGCTGTGTGCTGGGATTAAAGGTGTTCACCACCGTAGCCCAGCAAGTTTTAGGATTTTAATAAGCTTAATTTTTAATTCTAAAATTAAGCAATACCTCATTTGACAAAAAGCGAATCGATCCTTTCACACTTTACTTGTAGAGCAGCAGTACAAATTCATAGCAGTGCACTTTTATTAGTTTGAATAGGGCCAAATTGCAGTGGTTTATAGGGAGATTGCTAACGGAAGTGAAACTTGCCTACTGTGTGGCTCCCTGAAGTAGGAAAGAGTATGGATGTCTGTTTCCCTTTGTCAGTTTTCAAAGTACCGCATGATACTGGTAGTGTAGTGTATTGTCCATCCCTATCCTAGTTCCCTGCCCGGTGGTGGGGATGGAGCCTTGGCCCTATATGTGCTGTGTGGCACATCCAGGCCTGCATAGCATAATTTGGGTTTTGTTGTTGTTTTGTTTTTTGTTTTTTGAGACAGGTTTCTCTGTATTGTTTTGGAGCCTGTCCTGGAACTCGCTCGGTAGGCCAGGCTTGGTCTCGAACTCCTGAGTGCTGGGATTAAAGGTGTGCACCACCACCGCCCGGCTGCATAATTTGATTTTTGAGTCATGTTTTTTTTATATTTGAAAAATTAACTTCTGAGTATGGTGTTGGGTGATTGTGGTAGGAAATCTTGATTGGTGAGTTTGGTGGTAGATGTGGATAAAGTTATGTAAGCTATCTTTAAGATTTTTTTTGTTGTTTCTTTTTTGTTTTGTTCTTCAAGATAGGGTTTCTCTGTAGCTTTGGGGCCTGTCCTGGAACTTGCTCTGTACACCAGACTGGCCTCAAACTCACAAAGATCCACTGAGCTCTGCCTCCCAAGCACTGGGATTAAACCCACTACGTCCCAGCTATCCTCGAACTCAATTTGGTTGAACTCAGATCCGCCTGCCTCTGCCTCCCAAGTGCTGGAATTAAAGGTGTGCCAAGCCTGCCAGGGCTACACAGAGAAACCCTGACTCCAAAACAAACAAAAAAATATTTCATTTTATAATTATGGGTATGTGGATGTGGGAGGGGTAGAGAGGTATGTCTGCCTCTATGTGTAAGAAGGGATCCAAGCTGGTCATTGTCTCTGTTGTTAGATATTTTGTAATTTATCTGAAACACCTTCTAGTCCATTTTGACTCTTGTGTTTCCTTATAGACGGAGGCTGATGTGAACCCCAAGGCCTATCCCCTAGCAGATGCCCACCTTACGAAGAAGCTGCTGGACCTTGTTCAGCAGTCCTGTAACTACAAGCAGCTTCGGAAAGGAGCCAATGAAGGTAAGACCCAGTCACAGGGTGACGCTAAGGTGCCGAAGGTCCCTGTTTTCAACTGGGGTCTCATGGATTTCTAGTTTGGGAGAGGGGCTAGACACTTTCTTTTCCCTCTCCCTCACCTCCTTCACTTTCCTTTTTAGTTTGTGAGGATAGGTCTTGCTGTGTTCCCGGGGTGGCCTCAAACTCCCCAACCAGAGTAGTCCTCCTACCTCAGCCTCCTAAAATAGTTGGGCTAACTGTGTACTCTAGTTCTTTACTGACCAGTGAAAGACACATTTGGCATTAGATGCTAAAGTTTGTGTGCTTAGGATGTAGAGTCATCGGAGCTTAATAGTTTGCTGTATTTGTCTTTTCTCTCTGAATACATAAAAATTTATTTGTGGAGCCTTTTAGACTCCTTAGAACCATCAAAAAGGAAGGGATTATAATGCTTTTCAGAATCTGGCACTATCTAATTGGGGGGATTATTTGAGACAGGGTTTCTCAATTTTTGGAGACCGTCCTGGAACTCTTTGAAGACCAGGCTGGCCTCGAACTCAGAGCTCCACCTGCCTCTGCCTCCTGAGTGCTGGGATTAAAGGTGTGTGCATCACCACCTGTGGAGGGGGTGCATGAATCAGGGTTCTCAGAAGCATTTCCCTTTTGTATGTGGAGCAGAGGAGCGTGAGTTGCAGAGTAGGGGCAGACTGAGGCTAGAGAGTTTTGTATTTTGTTGGTTTGTTTGTTTGGGAGAGCCTCAAGTGCTGGGGTTAGCCTCACAAATTTACTATGTAGCCAACCTTGAGCTGAACCTCCTGTCTTCACCTCACAAGTGCTGGGATTACAGTTGTGCATTATCATGCCTGGCTCTGGATTGGCTTGTTGAATGCGTTAATTTTTCGGTGGACTGTTAAAAGTGCCATGACATTTCCTGCCTAGAGGAAATAAAGCCAAGTCGTTTTCTATAGTAGAGTTGTTTTGCTTTTAAAGCTATTAATTGAAATACCTTGTTTGAGAGTTTAGGGGAACCCTGGAAAAATGAGTATCTGTTACCTATGTTGTTTGGTAGAAAGCAAAGTAAACCTGTTCTGTTGTGTCCTCCATTCTTAGAGATCACATGGTGAAGGAAGGTATGGGCTGCATGTCAAAGGTGGGCTGTGAAGAGAATGGGGTGTAGCTGTGGGAGGATCTTTTTGTATTGAGTCTCCTCAGAAAGTGAAGCTTGAGCAGAGAACTGAGGCCTTGGTGGCAGGTTAAAACTGTAGAAGCATTGCTTCGTGCTGCTAGGTCCTTTTGCTGAGTGGGTGAGGACATTAGGGATTGTGTCAGTGGTCAGGGTTTGGGTGCCTTATTACATTACAGGGCTGCTGCTCCAGGCAGAAAATGCTTTTCCCCCACTCCTCCTTTTTGAGACAGTCTCGCTATGTAGTTTTGGCTGTCCTGGAACTCACTGTGTAGACCAGGCTGACCTCAGAGTTGGAGATCTGCCTCCCAACTGCTGAGGTTGTAGGTGTGCGCAACCTCACCTGACTTGTTCCTAAGCGGTTTGCCCTTTTTTTTTTTTTTTTTTTTTTGGTTTTTTTACGAGACAGGGTTTCTCTATATTGTTTTGGAGGCTGTCGGTCCAGCCTGGCCTCGAACTCACAGAGATCCGCCTGCCTCTGCCTCCAGAGTGCTGGGATTAAAGGTGTGCACCACCACCGCCCAGTTTGCCCATTTCCTTATACCTGTTTTTTCCTTGCTTTGCTGTGGCTGCTCTGCCCAAGCACCGTGTAATCTATTGGCTTCATGTCCTGTCTCAACAGCCACCAAAACCCTCAACAGGGGCATCTCTGAGTTCATTGTGATGGCAGCAGACGCTGAGCCCTTGGAGATCATCCTGCACCTCCCACTGCTGTGTGAAGACAAGAATGTCCCCTATGTATTTGTGCGATCCAAGCAGGCCCTAGGACGAGCCTGTGGGGTATCCAGACCTGTCATCGCCTGCTCTGTTACCATCAAAGAAGGCTCTCAGCTAAAGCAGCAGATCCAATCCATTCAGCAGTCCATTGAAAGGCTCTTGGTGTAGGCCTGTGGCCTCTGCCCTGTCCTGTCTGTTCCCACCTACCTGTGTATATTGTCTGTTAGCATGTAGTGTTTTCAGCCAGTTTCTACTATAAATATTGTACTACATCTGGTTTTGTATTTTTATTGTCTTACAGGGTTGTTTTGTCCCCATCTCCTCATCCTCTCTTCTACCATTTTTTTTAATCTTTAAAAATATTTTAAGACAGGTTAGAGGCAGAATGTCACTATTTTACAACAGGAAAAACTTAAGCCAGGGATAATGTCTACTTTCAGCTGCAAACTCATTCCTCTGTGCAGGGTAAGATGACAGTAACACTGGTCCCTTATGCCTTTGCATATATAATCTCCATGAATGTTAACATGATTGGCGATCTTTTTGGATAGCTGCCCACCATCATTTGAAGAGGAAGTTTGATAATGTTAAGCCTATGTCTAAGTGCCATTTATTAATGTTCCGTGTGCTTTTGATATGTGTAGCCTTTTATTCGTCCCACTCCCTGCTGAGGGTATCAAGCCAGTGACACTCGAGGGATGGTGTGCAGACTCAGGCAGCTTGGGTGAGTTTGACTGCTTGGATCTTGAAGAGTAGCAAGGACAAAATAGTCAACTCATGCAGAATAAAGGATTTCAGGGCTGGAGCTGACAGCAGAGACAATGCTATCAGGAGCATCCTGTCCTTGATTGAATGGAGATTTCTTGTGAAGCCTTTGACACTCACTTTGGGAGCCCTTATCCTTCTCTTCCCACAACATGGGTCAAATGTATTCACATAAAGAGAGTGAAAATAATGTTCATTCTTGAGCATACTAATAAAGAAATATGTTCATATTTCATTTTAAATGAAACGTGGCAGCAGTACCTGATTCAGTTTTATCAACTAATATTTGAAACTTGCTTAGCATTTCTAGGGCAGTTGTAACATGGGGTAGGAGAACATTGAAAAAAGTTCTGGGTATGTAGGACCAGACTGGCCTGAATTCTCAAGAGATGTCCCGCCTCCACCCCCCATGCTGTAATTAGAGACAGGTATGCACCACCACCCCTGACTTTTGTATTTTGTTTTGATGTGTGTTGTGTTGGGGATCAAGCCCAGGACTCCAGAAGTACTGTTACTGCCCCCAGCCCAGTTATTGTTTCACTAGGTGCTACATGCTAAGTAGCAAGTACACACCTACCACTGAACTGTACCTCTAGCCTTAATTCTTTAAGGCCATGTAGAGCCAGGCGATGGTGGCATACACCTTTAATCCTAGACTCTGGAGGCATTGGCAGGCCTGGTCTACACAGAAACCCTGTCTCAAGAAAAAAAAAAGACTGGCTAGAGAGATGGCTCATCAGTTAAGAGCACTGACTGCCCTTCCAGAGGACCTGGGTTCAAATCCTGAGATTTCCTGATACATCTAACAAGTTGGTTGATGTGCAAGGACCCATTTGTAGGCCAGCCTTGCAGACCTCTGCACACTAGGTGGCAGTAGCGTTCCACCTCCACTGCCTCCCAGAAATGATTCTCCATTAATCAAATGTGCCCAGGGAACAAATCACCCACAACTGAAAGCCACTATGGCGGTCAGTCAGGCACACGTGGCATGAATTGGTGTTGGAAACTGAGTCACAAGCATCTCCCCTGCCTCTTGTGCTTTTCACCTGTATCACACAAACAATACTTGAGAAATCTTCCCACTGCAAATAACTACCACAGAAGTCAGATGAATGAGGACAAATTATGTTCATTTTTCTCTTGGCCTTGCTGGGCCAGTTTCCCACTCCAGCAGGAAGGACACTTGAAGACCTGAGACCCATCTGCGAAGGTCTGTTTACTCCCCAGGCCAGTCAATCATCCCAAGAAACTGGGCATTTGTGGATTGAGGTTTCAGGACTGCCGTCTTTGTAATTTCTTCTGTTAGCCAGAATCCAAAAGGAATGTGACCCAATGTTACTGTGTTTTGCTTGCATGTGTGTATGTTCACCATGTCATGCTCAGTGCCCGTGGAGGTCAGAAGAGGGCACTGGACCCATTAGAAGTGGGGTTACAGATGGCTGTGAACCACTGTGTGGGTGCTAGGAAACAAACCTGGGTCTTCTGCAGGAGCAAGTACCCTTAACTGCTGAGCCATCCCTCCAGCCCCATCATACATTTAAAGAAAACAGGCTGGCAGGGCATGTGGAGATACAATCTTGCTAAAGCTTGCCACTGCAGAAGTACCTGATGACCACTTATCCATCAGTGTCACTCTTCCCCCAACCTCCTCTAAGATGCTTGTTTCCTTTAATAAGTACTTCCATAGGGGAGAGAAATTAAGCTAAGAGTCAATCACAGTAACCTGCGTTGGAGGCAGCTCTTACCCATTCATACTGAACAGTACACCGTGAGAGCTCTTTATTCATATAAGGCACAACAAAGTGGGAGGGCTGCAGTCTCCATGAGGAGAAGTCATTTGCGTTTCTGTCAGGCAGCCCTTTGTAGCTAAGAAACATCTGTTAACTTGGTGAGAACATAAGCAGGTGTCTGCCTTCGGTGTGGCAAGTGGCTGGGCTGCAGAGTGACTATCAGTCACTTCTGGAAGTGTCTGCTGAGAGCATCTAGCAGCTCCTGTTTCTTCGGTCCACTCTTCAGCCCATAGGCCTTACAGACTTCCTTCAGTGTAGGCACAGTGAGCTTGCCCAGTGTGCCCTTGGCACAATGGGCCTTCAGCTCCTCTTCTGATAACTCCACCTTGGGCTTTTTACTTGGAGAACCTTCATCATCTAGAGAAAAGGAAGAAAGGAATAACCTATTCTCCAGTGATATCCCAGCTACATGACAGAACTCTGCTTACCTAAAACAGTTGCTCTTCTGTGTGAGCCTATCACTTTCTTCTACAAAACTTTACAGGAGCTGGAAATATAGCACAGCAATGGAGTGCTTGCCTAGCGTGCTTAAGGCCCTGACTTAAATGCCAGAAAATCCAAGGTTTTTATTTGCACCAGGCAAATAAAAACAGCAGTGACAAATTCATTGGTAAACCACAATGCCTGACATGCTCTGACAGCATCTTCTAAAGCATGACAGGAGTTGGTTCTGAAGCAAAATGGAGCAATCAGGATGGCCACCAATCTGATCTCTCACTACTCCTGTCCTCATTGGGTCTACTAGGCAACAAGGCTTAAATATAGCTTTACTTAGCTAAAGACAGCCAAAACAATTAAAACCTAAACCAGAACCTCCAAAATAGTGTACCTGGTGCTTCTTTATAAACATGAGCCTCACAGTAGAGGAAACTTGAGGGCCCATCGGCAATAAAAAGGGCTGTCCTATAAGAAAAATGGGCAATGCCAAGAACAGATGAGGGGGAAGAGAGGCACTGAGACTACATTCTCGACTACAGACCCATACATCAAAGCAGAACACACATTCTCTTTGCCATTTGCTTTGTAGAAATTTAGATAATTAGGGACTGGAGAGATGGCTCATCAGTTTTTTGTTTTTTTTTTTTTTTTTTTTCCGAGACAGGGTTTCTCTGTATTGCTTTGGAGGCTGTCCTGGGACTTGCTCTGTAGACCAGGCTGGCCTCAAACTCACAGAGATCCACCTGCCACTGCCTCCCGAGTGCTGGGATTAAAGGTGTATGCCTCCCAATGCCCGGCAGCTCATCACTTTCTTAACTGAATTCAATTCCCACCACCCACATGGCAGCTCACAACTGTCTATTATCTGTAGTCCCATGGGATCTGATGCTCTTCTGGTGTGCAGACAAAACATCCAAATAAAACACAAATTTTAGAAATCTTAGATAAAGTACAAGATTGTTCAGAGCATGGTGATCCATGCTTGTAATCCCAGCATCCAGGAGGTTAAGTCAGAGCTTCCTAACTTGAGGGTCAGCCTGAACACAAAGACCCTGTCTCAAAACCAAACTAAAGAGCAAACAAAAACACACCCATTCCTTCCTAGATGAGGTATAAATGTCACTCCTGTCAGATTTTGGAGTGCTGGGACTATGGGTCTCTGCCACCATACCCAATTTTTGATGCAATTCTTAGCAGATTTATGTGTATACATACAGGTGCATGTCTTTGCAGAGGCCAGAGGAAGATGTTGAGTGTCCTCATCTATGGCTCTCCACCTTATTGCCTTGATGTAGGATCTCTCATTCACTAACTGCCTCCATACTGGGATTATAGGCTAGTGTGACCATGCTTAGATTTTGACATGGAGGCTGGGGATCCAAACTCAAGTCCTCATACTTGCTTAGCAAGCACCCTGATCCACTAAGCTATTGCTCCAAACCCCAGATCTTTAATATCTACCAACAACTCTACTGCTAACAATTGCCCTATTGAGCTGCTCAAACAAATAAGTAAGATTGTTAACTGTAGCTGAGCGGTGGTGGCGCACGCCTTTAATCCCAGCACTCAGGAGGCAGAGGCAGGCCGATCTCTGGGTTTGAGGCTAGCCTGGTCTACAGATCGAGTTCCAGGACAGCCTCCAAAGCTACAGAGAAACCCTGTCTCGGAAGAAAAAAAAAAGATTGTTCACTGTAGAATGTCCATTAATAAGAGAGCTCACTAAATAAACAAGCAGAGACACCTAACTACTTACCTAACTAACTAATTAACTCTGCAGCCTAATTAAAAAGATTCCTATTGTGTGTATGATGTATGTGTGTGGATGTAAGACAACAATTTTGGAGAATCAGATCTCTACCCACCTTTATTGGGTTCTAGGGAGGGAACTCAGGTTAAAGGCTTACACAGGGCAAATGGCCACTGGCTGAGCCATCTCATCAGCCTAGTTCCTAAAAATCAGGTAGAGGGGCTGGAAAAGGCTTAAGGATTAAGAACACTTTGTACTCTTGAAAGGACTAGGGTTTGGTTCCCAGAGCCTACATGGTGACTCCTGACCACCTGTAACTCCAGTTCCAAGAGATCTGATACACTCTTCTGACCTCTGGAAGCACCAGACATGTAAATAGTGCACATACACGAATGAGCGCAAAACACTCATACACAGAAAGTGATAAAATAAATCTTCGAGAAAGCTTTAACAAGGTAGAGGGTTGGTGAACGGCTCATCGGATCCAAGTATTTGCCAAGTAAACCTGATTGATACCTGGAGTCGGCATAAATTAAGAGAACTGACTCCACAGCTGTCCTCTGGGCTCCACACATGCCTCACGGCACACATGTGCCCATACTCTGCCCCCAACACACACACACACACACACACAAGTACTCCATTTGTGCTGAACTATGCACATTTGTATAGAAACTTCTAGGCATGTATTCTAACACTAAGCCCCACAACCCACGTATACAAATTTCTGAAGAGGCTGGAATGTAGCTCAATGATACAGTGCTTACTTGCAGATGTGTGGTCCTGACTTGGACCCGTAGCATACTCACCACCCCCAGAAAAAATTAAAAGTAAGGAAATAAGTTATCTCAATGGTAAGACCATAATGACCTTGAGGTACTTTTTTAAAGGAACATGCTGTACACCTAGACCCAGCTCCTCACCTTGTTTTCTCTTGGTAGCTTTTCCCTCAGGATTATAGCCAGGTGGGTAGACAAGCTCTTTAAACTCATCAGCCAGGGAGCCTAGTCTTTTCTTTATGGCTTCAACCTTGGGCACTAGAAAAACCAAAACAACACTGTGGTCAGGGGATTCACGTGCATCCTAGTGACCTGTCCAGTTCCAGTTCTGTGGGGAACACGAGAGAGCACCAAGTGGGGTGGGGGAAGCGCTGGAAGCTGACCATGAAAACATGGAATAGAATCCTTCCCGCATCCTCAGATTGAGGGGTCCCAGATCTTGGAAAATGCCAGTTCTGCATTTAAGGGGCATAGTACCTGCATATATCTACACACATCCTTTTGCATACTTCAAGTGAACTGAGGATATAGAAGTAGTCCTTCCACACGGCTGCGAACTTACCGGTTGATTGTCTTCTGCTAGATCAGGCTAGACAGTCCCCACAATCATGCCTGCTTTTAATATAACAGCTATTTTGTCTGGTGTAAGAGGCTGTGGATAACTAGGCCGCTAAGCAGGCCAAACTAATTGTTCTGGTCCTTTTAACTGTTATGAGGACCTTCATTAAATCCAATCTGTTTCCAGTGACTATTAATCTCCCTGTCACTGTCTGTCCTCATAAACACCATCAAGAAGGGGTCTAATAGCAAGGCCCGAGACGCTCCTCCTAATAGAAAAGCAGTAAGCACAGTGGTTCAAGGCGAGGGCAGAATTCAGTGTTTTCTAAGGTACCCACTCCTACTGCTCTGGGAAACCATCCCCTTCTCTTTAAAGTAAGAACAGCAGTGGCCCCTGCGCCAGAACTATGAATATTAACTGAGTCAGCACGCAGTATGCCTGCCTCGCTGTAGGCCTTAGAGAATGTTATCAACATTAACTTTCACCAACACAGACTTGGGGTGGCCTAATTAGTTCAGAGTCAGGTCTCAGGAGCCTGGCTCTTTCCTCCTGTCACTGCAGAGCTAGCCAAATCTGTTCCAGGAAGTCTAAGGTGACCTAGAAAACCTCTCTCAAGCAGAGGCAGTCTATACAGGCGGTTTGGAGACGGCCAGAAAAACACTTCAGATCACTGGTCGAAGGGTCAAAAGCAAAAGCAATCTTCCTTTGTGGTTCCCCACAAACACACCATTACCACCTGGAGCTGAGGCAGGTCCAGGCCTCAGATTTGAATTTAGAGAAAGTTCTCAGCTAAGGCTCTAGCTCACCAAACGAGGTGGAAGGCTGCCTCCCAGCAGTGTGTGAGCCCCATGGGTTTAATCCCCAGCACCAACAAACAACAACAAAAGGCCTTCTCAGCTCAGTTCACATTTCTTACTTGTGAGATCTACCACTTGCTCAGACTCCATCATATCCAAAGCCAGGGCCTCCAGGTTCCGGAAGTGCTGCTGCAGCACTGGATTCTCAAAACTGTCACTCCTGTTAAGACAACATCAAAACATAAGCACTTTCAGGAAAAAAAAAACTCAATATCCAGCAAAGACAGTGTGTAGGTCTAAGGTCAATAGAGAAATAGACCACAAGTGAATGGAGACCTCAGAAATCAACCTCTCTCTCCAGTTTTCAATTTATCACTGGATCAACTGCAAAGCAAACCTGGCCACTTGGCCTCTTCAAGCCGAGACAGAGAGAACAGAGAAAACAGAATGACTAAAGTAGAGAGAAAAAACGAAGGACAGCTGGATGGAGAGGTAGAAAATCGAATGTGTTTTCTGTATACAGAGCAGCACAGGAGTTAAGCATTTGAACCCAGAGCCACACACATGGAACTGAAGCCTGGTCTCTGGCCTCTAAGCTTTTCTAGTTGGATGAGACTAAAAAGGAGGCCTTCTGGCCTACAGCCTGTTTCATCTGCAAAATGGGCACAAAACCAGCCTTTCAGACGTGTGTGTGTGTGTGTGTGTGTGTGTACATGCATGCACACACATATGAGTATGGGTGTCTGCAGACATCAGCGGAGCCTACAGAGGTCAAAGGTGTCAGATTCCTTGGCACTGGACTTACAGGTGGTTGTGAGCCACCTGGCATAGGTGCTGGGAATCAAATCCCAGTCCTCTGCAAGAGCAGTAGATGTTCTTAACTAGTGAGCCATCTTTAGCGTTCCCTTTCAATTTCTTATGGAGAATAAAGGAGAGAATTGAGGTATAATTAGGTGTAGAGGACTTGCCTCACATGCTGGGGACCTCAGATTCAATCCAGCAACAAATATTAACAAAAATAATTGACATAATGTTAGCATTGTACATAGAACACTGTCTAACACACGGTACATGTTTGTTCTTGGTGTGTGTGTGTAAGACATGTACCTGAGATTAAACCCAGAGCCTTACACATGCTAGAAGTACATCCCCAATCCTACATGGCATATTCTTAGTGCTCCATTTCCTAGGCAAGGACTATACCAAGAAGTTGTAGCTGAAGAAGAAAGGCATCTTTTTGTGGGTTTTTTTAGACAGGGTTTCATATATTCAAAGCTTACCCCAAACTTACTCTGTAGTATAGATGACCTTGAACACCTCATACCGCTGCCTCTACTTCCCCAAGTGTGGGGATTATAGATGTGTGCCACACACTAATAAAAGTATCATTTACCCAGAAGTAGAAGTAACAAAAGATAGAGTGAAAAACTCTCACTTGATGGCAAAAGGAGAAGGGAAAAAAAAAGAAAGACATATAAACTGACTTTAAAATAGTCTACAAGCCAAGCATGGTGATGTCTGCCACTAATTCCAACAACCAATGTTTAAAAATCTGAACAAAACACCCAAGATCTTGATAAGCATGTCTCCTAAGAAGACATACAAATGGCCAAGAAGTACATAAAAGTTGTTCAGCTGTTGTTATCGTTAGGGAAATATAAATGATGCCACAACGAGACATCAACTCACATCTCTCAAAAGTACAAGACACTGGCTGAGGATGTAGCTCAGCTGAGAGTGTATGACTAGTAAGCATGAAGCCCTGGGTTCAACTCCAAACACCAATAAACCAGGCATGGTGGCACTTGTTGTAATCCCAGCACTGGGGAGGAGACGGCAGAATCAGAAGTTCAAGTCCTCCTATCTACATAGTAAGTTCGAGGCCAATATTCAGGAGACAGTCAATAAACCACATGTGTGAAGACAAGCCAGGTCTACATAATCAGTCTGTCCCCTCCCTCTTCAAAAAGATCTCATGGGTCCCAAAGGAAGCCCTGAACTCAAGGATGACCTCTAACTCCTAATCCTCCTGCCTCCATCTTCAGAGTTCTGGGAACTATAGGTATGCATCACAGTAATAAGATACTGTCTTTTAAAAACAAAAACAAGTCAAGACGTGTGGGAATGGGGAGAAATTGTAACCTTTGTATACTTTCGGTGAGAATGCAAAATGGGTAGTAACTATGGGAAACTGTATAGAGGTTCCTCAAAATTTACAGCTAGAAAGCCAGTCAGGTGGCCCAGGGGTAAGAGGTGGCTTACTTGGCATGCTGCACTGGAGGACAACTGACTCCCAAAAGTTGTCCTGCCCTCATCTATGCACATTACTTATACACACAATAAATAAAAATGCAAAAAATTCAAAATACAAGTCTGGCAGAATAATTCAGTAGACAAAGGTGCTTGCCACCAAACCTGAGGCTTGAGTTTAATCCTCAGGACCCACACGACAGAAGGAGAGAACCAACTCATAAGTTGTCCTCTGACCTCTACCCATGAACTGTGGCATACAAAAAAGAAATAGTAAAGGTAAAAATTTTTTAATTAAAAACAGAACTACCAAAAAATTGAAATCAAGATATCAAAGATATACCAACATCCCCAATGTCATTACAGATCTCCTCACAACAGCCAACACACAGAAACCTTACACATACATACGTCATGGGTTATTTGTGCACTGTGTGAAGATGTATAGCTGTGATTTGGTGTAATAAAAAGCTGCACAGGAGAGAAAGGTGGTACTTCTGAGCAGAGAAAGGAAGTAGGGGGACGAATCTAGGTGCACAAGAGAGACATGAGGAGACATGGAGGACCAGGATGGGCAGCATGTGACAGCGCAGATTAACAGAAATGGGTTCATTTAAGTTATAGGAGCTAGTTACAAACAAGACTAAGGGGACTGGAGAGATGGCTCAGTGGTTAAGAGCACACCTGTCTGTAACTCCAGGTCAGTGGATTTGTTATCCTTACACCAATGCACATAAAATATTAAAAAAAAAAAAAAGACTAACCTAAGGCCAAGGTTTCACAATAAGTCTCCATGTTGTTATTTATGAGCTGGGAGCCCAAAGAAAAATCCAACTGACTACACTGGTATATTATATATTTATATTAAGTATATTAGAATTTGTTAGTTAGCCTTTAAAAAAAAAAGGAAGGGCTGGAGAGATGTCTCAATGGTATTGATCTGGCTGCTCTCCCACAGCTCCTGGGTTTGATTCCCAGCACCCACATGGCTGCTCACAACAATCTGCAACTCATTTCAGGGAATCCTATGCCCTCTTCTGACCTCATAGATTGCACACATATGATGTACAAACATACTTTCAGGCAGAGCGGTGGTGGCGCACGCATTTAATCCCAGCACTCCGGAGGCAGAGGCAATCGGTTCTCTGTGAGTTCAAGGCTAGCATGGTCTACAAGAGTGAGTTCCAGGACAGCCTCCAAAGCCACAGAGAAACCCTGTCTCGAAAAACAAAAAAAATAAAAATAAAAAAATAACAACTTTCAGGTAAAACACCTACACAATTCAAATAAAAATGTCTGGAACCCAGAGTGGAGGCCAAGGGCTGGGAGGGGCAGCTGCTAACCAGGTCTCACCCTGCAGCTGTGCAGCAGAGGAGAGGAGAGGCGAGGGCATCCTAGCTTCTCTACAGGGCACTGACAATCTATTAAGGAGGTAAATGTCTTACAGAAAATACACACTGACAAAACAAAGATGGTATGTGATAAATATGCCTGTAGTCACATTGTGTAGGCTTTAAAAGATGGTCTCTTTTCTGTTTATAAAAAATGACTTGAGAACTGGGTATAGGCGCTCACCTTTAATACCAGCACTCAGGAGGCTGAGGCTGGCGGTTCTCTGTGAGTTTTAGGCCAGCCTGGTCTACAGAGTGAGTTCCAGGAGAGCCAAGGCTACGCAGAGAATCCCTGTCAAAAAACAAAAAACAAAAAAAAACACAAAACAACAACAAAAAATTTACTTGGGGGCTGGAGAGAGAGATCAGCGATTGAGAGCACTTCCTGACCCTATAGAGAACCAGGGTTCAGTTCCTAGCACCTATATGGCATTTCAAACTGGCTTTAATTCCAGGCCTAAAGGATACCTTGAACACTAGTCATAGATGTGGTGAACACACACACACACACACCACACGCACGCACGCACACACGCAGGCTAAGCATACATATAAAAATCTTGAGCTGGAGAGACGGCTCAGTGGTTAAGTACTGGGATTACAGGTCTATACCACACATTGCTTCTCACCTGACTTTTTAGGTCTTTCTCTATGTATTTTGTTTTGTTTTTCAAGTCAGCGTTTCTCTGTATAATCCTAGCTGTCCTCGAACTCATGAGATCCGCCTGCCTCTGCCTCCTAAGTGCTGGGATTAAAGGTGTGCACCACCACTGCCAGGCCCATGTACTTTTTAAGTTCTTGGAAACAAGTAATCTCTTGTTTTTGACTAACTGATGAGAACCACACCCTCTTACTCTGTGTCTAACTTGAATTTCTAATAAGGCCCAAGTCAGGAGACGACTCCAGAGAAAGCCCGAGGATGCCCCGGCACTCACCTGTACGTGAAGCGAAGCTTTTGAACAATAGCTTTCATCTTGTCTATCTGCTCGGGGTTGGCCATCACTTTCTCAGTAAAGGGCACCTTCCGCTTGTCGTCAGCATAGGGGAGGAAGACAAGCTGGAAGCCTGAGGAAGGGAGACAGGTCTTCTGGGGTTTGACTTAGTGATGCAGTTCTTTGTCTCTGAGTCCCAAGCTCACCCCTCTGTGTCCTGTGATGCTGTGGCTGGGAGTTACAAACAGTTTCTCCTTTACCAGGGACCCTAACCGACTCTGGAGATACATGGGAAACCTGACAGAGGAGGGGTACCCCAACGGGGAGCAACAGCCAGGCAATAGCAGTTGGTCCCAGTGTCTAGCTTTTATTATTACCATCATCATCATTATTAATTTAAGACAATCCAGAGCCAGCTGTCCCCAAGATGGATAGCTGACAAGTGGCAGAGATGGTCCAAAACAAAAAGAAGTGAGTAGCATAAGAGAAAGTCACAGCTGGGTATGGTGGTGCATGCTTGTAATAACAACACTCAGGAGGCTGGGGCAGCAGGAACACAAGTTTAAGGTCAGCCTGGGCTACAACCTGAGACCTTGTTTAGAGGGGCTAAAAAGATAAAAGCAAGCCTAACTTCAAACTATCCATGTCATCTCCACTACAACACACCGCCTTAGCAACAGACTTTCAGTAAAGAAAAATATCAACAGAGAAGGCCTGAATCTTGCCTTAGAAGTCACGACGGAGACAATTCTGAGCCCTGACAATCTTGTGACCGTGCACACTGCTAGCCCTCCATGGTGGCCTTGCCTGTCAGGGCATCACATCCACTTACAAAACCTTAAAAGCACACATTTCCCAAGACTGATTCTTAGGAACTCTGGTGCTTCAGACCCCAAAGGGATTCCAAAGCACATGCAAGGCTCAGGAGCCTGGATCTCTCCGCCCGTACCTGCTGGCGTCACCTGAATATTCTGATCATCTAGTTCCTCTTCCTGTGGCACCAAAGCCACAAAATAAGGGGGCACGTTCTTTCGGGGGGTGTATCTACACACTGCCACGACCTCCTTCTCCAGACACTTGGTGAGCAGAGCAGTGAACAAGGTTGAGCTCCCTAGAAAACAAATGTCACAGGCCTGCATCCTAAAGCACTCTCCTTTCCCCCCATCCTAGCAGAGGCATAGTCTGTTTGGTTTGGTTTCTCGAGACAGAGTTTCTCTGTGTAGCTTTGGATCCTGTCCTGGAACTCACTCTGTAGACCAGGTTGGACTTGAACTCACAGAGATCCACCTGCCTCTGCCTCCCGAATGCTGGGATTAAAGGCATTAAAGGAATGTGCCGACACACCCAGGCATACAGTTTTGTTCATTTTCTTTAAAGGGCCATGACACCTTGAGTAAAAGGTGAAGAACCAGAGCTAAGGGAAAGCAGGGGCGGAAGGGGACGAGAAAAAAAAAGCAACCAGGGTTGGGGCTCAAATACTCCCTTTGGGAAGGAGTACGAATCATTGTCATCGCATCGCACTATTGTTAGGCTAACGGCATGAGCTTCCAGCACTAACAGAAACCAATCAGGTATGGGGAGAGCTCCGTGTAAAGGGCACAAGTGCAGACTAAGGCACAGGTCACATCACCCTGAATTGCCCACGGCTAAAGCAGAGGAGTGTCCTGGGTTTGGTTTTGGCTCTATTATTTGGTTTCATAATTGCATAGGATCAAAGTTTTAAAAAAATTCTAGCCAGGTGGTGGTGGCACACGCCTTTAATTCCAGCATTTGGGAGGTGGAGGCAGGTGGATTTCTGTGAGTTCGAGGCCAGCCTGGTCTAAGTGAGTTCCAGGACAGCCAGGACTGTTACACAGAGAAACGCTGTCTTGAAAACACACACACACACACACACACACACACAGGGCTGAAGAGATGGCTCAGAGGTTAAGCCAGCAACCACATGGTGGCTCACAACCATCTGTAAGGAGATTTGGTGCCCTCTTCTGGCCTGCAGGCATACATGCAGGCAGAACACTGTGTGCATAATAAATAAATCTTTAAAACAAAGAAACAGGGGCTGGAGAAATGGCTCAGAGGTTAAAAGCACTGACTGTTCTCCCAGAGGTCAGGAGTTCAATTCCCAGCAACCACATGGTGGCTCACAACCATCTAAAATAAGACTGGATGTCCTGGCGTGCAGGCAAACATGTAGGTAGAACACTGTATATGTAATAAATACAATCTTTAAAAAAACAAAACAAAGAAACAACAACAAAAAGTCCCAACAACTCAAATTCTGGACTGGAAAGAGGGCTCATCGGTTAAGAGCACTGGCTGCACTTTCAGAGGACCTGGGTTCAATTCTCAGCAACCACATGGCAGCTCACAACTGGCTGTAAATCCAGTTCCAGGGGACCCAACACTCAAGGCAAAACACCAATGCACATAAAAACAAAACAAAACAAAACCCTCAAATTCAAATTCTACAGCCCTCCCACCTGGACTTTTCACAATGTTTGTCAGTATGGTGAGGTTCCTGAAGAAATTTAACTTTGCTTAGTCCACATTTCCAAAATATAAATATACAACATTATCTTTTTCTTTTTCTGAACATGAGACATTTTAAAAATAACCCATTCACGTCTCTCACATGGCATCCAAGCAGCATCCATTTAAGAAACATGGCTCAATAAACCCAGTGACAGTCACACGTTCTCCCTTGGCCTACCATTTACCAGGGCCTCCTCTGGGTACAGGACAGGGGTCTATGCACTCACCATTTACCAGGGCCTCCTCTGGGTACAGGACAGGGGTCTATGCACTCACCATTTACCAGGGACTCCTCTGGGTACACGAACAGGGAGGGCCTCAGGTAGTGGTGCTTCTTCAGCATTACCAAGGGCTTAAAGCCCATGAGGATCAAACCTGGCTCATCAAACCGCTTCAACTCCTCTGTTTCCTCTTTCTCTAGCACAATTTGACGACTCCCATAGGTCTAAAAGGCAAAGGATAGGAATAACAAGGGCCACAAAAGTGCTATGTAGACATGCATATTAGTCACCAAACACCAGCAAGTTAACATTGGCTCTGTGGGGTCTGGTAGATGGCTTAGTGGATAAGAGCCCTTGCTATACAACTGTGAGGACATGTTTACATCCCTGGCACCCATGTAACACCAGATGTAACTGGGACCCCGCTGTTGTGTTGAGGGAGGAGACAGAAGGATCTCAAGGTTTGCAGTCAGTGAGCATGACTAAGAAAACGATTAGCTTTGGTTTGGTGAGAAATCCTGTCTCAAGAGAATGAGAAAGAGGACAGAGCAGAATAACCAATGTCCTCCTCTGGCCTCTACATACCAGTACACGGTGTGGAGACAGGCCAGCAGAGACATCCTCCTCATACAACCTAGGCATGAGCATTTACTTAAAGACCTCCAGGTAGTTTATATGTGCCACCTAACTTGTCTTCTGTAGAATCCTGGGAGATAGGTATTAAAGACTATTTAACAGGAGCTGCTACAGAGAAGGCTCAACAGTGCCTGCCTAGAAATAAAGAGGCCCTCAGTTGGATCTGAAGTAAAACAAGCAAAACAACAAAGCCTGTTTAACAAACAACTGAACTGAGGGCCAGAAGTTGGGCAACATACTCCAGATTATACAACTACAATGGTCTTCCCATCCCACCCCCCACAAGCCTTGGCTGTCCTCAAACTCACAGATCTAATTGCATCTATTAAAGTCATGCGCCACCACTGCTCAGCTTACAGTGGTCTTCAAATCTAGATCTTTCTGGGGCCAAAGGCCATGCTCCTCAGGAATTTTTTCCCTCTTATTTAATATTTACTGAGCTGCCAGCCCTATCCATGACAGATACGCAAACCAAGGACTGTGGAGATAGCTCAGACAGTTGGAGAGCACTTGTCTCATGGGACTTTATGGTATGGGAGATCCCACATCAGGTTCTGAATTGAAGTCTGATGGCAGAGTGTGGGGGGAGGCAGCAAGAAACACACCTGCTGGGTGGTGGTGGTGCATGCCTTTAATCCCAGCACTTGGGAGGTAGAGGCAGGACGATCTCTAGGAGGCAGCCAAGGTGATACAGAGAAACCCTATCTAGAAAAAAAAAGAGAGAAAGAAACACACCTAAATATTTCTTATAAAATTTAACTTTGATCCTGAAATATGATTAATACCAGAATGTGGTGTCGGAGTCAAATTTGGGTTTATTGAAAACCCTTCTGATTTATGTAGGAAACTCAGAGGTCAGAGGGCTGCTGCCTAATAAGCAATAAAAAGAGAATGTTTCATCTCTGTCCTTCAAAAAGCAGGGAGAGACCCTCTGGTGTGAAATTTATACTATAAAAGTAAGTGTGTACATGTGTGTGTGTAATGGTTAAATAAAAATACCCAATTAGTCAGACAGGTTCTGAACTAATACAAAAATCGGATCCTCTCCCACATTTTATACACTTAAAAAGGATGTGTTCAGCCAGTCATGGTGGTGCGTGCCTTTAATTGACCCTAACCCTAACCCGAGGCCTACCCAGTGGAGGTAGAGGCAAGTGATTCTGAGCTCGAAGCCAGTCTGGTGTGCACAGTGAGAACCTGTCTTAAAATAACAAAAGAACGTTTTCAGTTTTCAATAGCACATCCTTCTAAAGAGTACACAGCAGAGAAAGGACAAGAAGGGAGGAAGCTGTAGATGGTCTTCCCCGTTCAGAAAAGCAAAGGTGCATCATCCAATGCAAAGTAGTGCAGCAAAAATAGAATTCTCTGTGGTTGCTCTTATTGGTATTCACTGACTAATAAAATCACCAAGAAACACTTGAACCTGAAGACATTTAGATATGGCCTCATGCAGCCTCTTCTGCTATGTGACCCTCCCCCCATGAGTCAGTTATGCTCATAATCTCAGTTCATTCAAACATAAAGTAGAATTATTATCTGCCTTGCTGTTTTCAGTGGATTATTAGGATTAAGTTATATAAAAATTATAGTAAACTATAGAGTGCTATAAATAAAAATTTTTTTAAATCCTTACCCTTAAACAGTCCACCAAAAAACAAACAAACAAACAAAACCAAAAGGTCCACTGCATCTGCAAACCCTAAGGGACTGGGGTTAACTACTAAGCACTTCCTGTCATTAAACAGTTACAACAGTGTGTGCTGAGCAATTAAGGTCAAAGTTTCCACCAACACCTGGTCTATTTGGCTTTCTGATTCACAGACCCATGTGCCATGGTTTTGAGGTCAGTAGCTTCCTGTTGCTACAGCTTATCTAGAAAACTGCAGGTGAGGAGTGACTTAGGCTGCACAATGTGTGCCCTCCCTAGTTTTTTTTTTTTTTGAAGACAGGGTCTCTTCATAGCCCTGGCTGTCAAGACACTCACTCTGTAATCAGGCTAGGCTGGCCTCCAACTCACAGAGATCCACCTGTCTCTGCCTCCCCAGTGCTGGGATTAATGTCATGTGCTACCATGCCCAGTTCCTGGTATTACTTTTTTTTTCAAAGATTTACTTATCTGCATGTACGTATATATACACCACACATGCCTGGTGCATCCAGAGGTCAGAAGAAGGGTCTAAGCTCCTAGAACTGAAGTTATGAATGGTTGTAAGCCACCCTGTGGATGTTAGGAATGGAACCTGAACGCTCTGCAAAAACAGCAAGTGCTCTCTTAACTGCTGAGCCATCTCCAGCCCCCACCCCCTGTCAGTCCTGAAACAGAAGACTCAATGGGGTTAGCCACCTACCTGAGACCGCTTGGTATCACTAGGCAGAAGCAGACTGCCAGTGTTTACATTAAAAGTCCTAGTCTTGGTTTTCACTGGTTCATTTGTTTCTCGATAGAGCCTCACAGGAAAAGGCTTGTTAGCTTTCTGGACCAAGTTATAGATGCCCACCATGAGTGCTATGTCTTTACCAAGCTTAAACTTTAACCTGAGGGAGGAGAAAAAAAAAAAAGAAAAAAAGCAAGCATGGACAAGAACATTGTACTTTTCTATGTAAAATGTTTTCAGAGCAACCAAGTCTCAATTTGTTTAATTCTTTCCAATAATCTCTTAGAATACAAAAAGTGTGTAGACTATAAACAGAATACAGTACTGAGTATGGTGGGAAGTGTCCAATCCCAGCAGTTGAGGAACTAAGACAGTTAAGATTGCCATGAGTTCAAGACCAGTAAGGGGAACACACCAAGTACCAGGTTAGGCAGGTTTACATACAAGACTCTGTCCACAAACAATATAAAATCAAACAAACAAATAAATAAATAAGTGGAGAGATTGGGGAAGTGTAGTGCAGCTAAGCAAGGTGGCAAAAACCTGCAACCCCAGCTTAGAATATATAGCAAGACCCTGTCTTAAAAAGGAAAAAAAGTGATAATCTAACAACCTGGTTACTATTGATCCTATGCTATAAGAAATCAAAATAAAATAAAGCTTGGTGTATTGGCCCATACCTTTAATTCCAGCCTCAGGAGGCAAAGGCAGGTAGATCTCTGAGTTTGAGGCCAGCCTGGTCTACAGAACAAATTCCAGGACAGTCAAGGCTACACAAAGAAACCCTGCCAGGTGGTAGTGGCACACACCTTTAATTCCAGCACTGGGGAGGCAGAGGCAGGCGGATCTCTGAGTTTGAGGCCAGCCTGGTCTACAGAGTGAGTTCCAGGACAGCCTCCAAAGCCACAGAGAAACCCTGTCTCAAAAAACCAAAAGAAAGAAAGAGAGAGAGAGAGAGAGAGAGAGAGAGAGAGAGAGAGAAGGAAAGAAAGAAAGAAACCCTGCCCTGAATGAATAAATAAATAAGCAGCTCAGATCATCAGGCTTGGCAGCAGACACCTTTACCTGGTGAGCTATCTCATTGACTTAATAATAATAATACTAAGAATATAATTTTAACAATGATAACTAACATCTGGGGGCTGAAGAGATGGCTCAGTGGTTAAGAGCACTTGTTCTTCCAGAGGACCTGAGTTCGATTCTCAGCACCCACATCAGGTGTCTCATAACCATCTGTAAAAACTCCAGCTCTAAGGGATCCATCCAGTGCATCTTGCCTACATCAACACCCACACATACGTATAACTTATAAGTAAATACATAAAAAGGTAACATCTGTTAAGCTCTTTTGCGTGTATTAGATGTCTTTTACTCACTCCTTACAATAGATAACTAGTGAGATCAGACGATGTACTAAGGAGTGCAGCAGAGTACTTACACATCAAGAGTTCTGAAGGCTGTGGTACTGTGGAGACACAACACCGTCTCCGGGCAGAGAAAACACAGCTCACGTCACAGGTAAAGCAGGTAGAAGAGCGGAATGGCAGAAGCGTAGGTGGGGAAGTCTAATCTATGCACTGTTTGCGGTTTGTTAGGGAAGGATGGGAGGCTCACACAGGCTGGGTGCCCACCTGGACAGTACTCGTTTTTTGGTTTCCTTGGCTCGAACCTTCCTTAGCAGGTCTTCCAGCTTGCTTGATTCCTCAAAGTGAACCCCGAGATTCTCATCCTCAGCTACGCTGATGATGTCTCTGTAGAACAAGGATATGTCAAAGCCCCCTCGTCTCTTCAGATGCATCAAGTCAAGGAAGATCCCTGATGTAGGGAAAGAGCAAAACCAGGGGCAACAAAGTACAGCAAATGAGAATTATCATTCTCTGTTCAGACAGCTCTCAGTATGTAAGTATGTAACCCTGGCTGGCCTGGGACTTGCAACAAAGCTCCGGCCTCTGAACACCCCATACCTCTCTACTGCAAAATGCTAAATGCTAGGATGATAGATTTTTTTAAAAAAGAGCACTACACACTCTTCCCACTGACTCATCTCCCATGTCCTACAAAGAGATGTTAAGTCAGCATGACGGCTCATTAGGTAAAAGAATGTGCCACCAAGCCTGATGATCTGAGTTCAATCCTCAGGACCTACACACTGGATGGAGAGAACTGACTCCTACAAGATGTTCTTTGACCTCCACAAATGCAAAGTGATATCCATGTGCCCACACACCTATACATAAAATAAGTATATGCGCCGGGTGTTGGTGGCTCACACCTTTAATCCCAGCACTCCAGAGGCAGAGGCAGGCGGATCTCTGTGAGTTCGAGGCCAGCCTGGTCTACAAAGCGAGTTCCAGGACAGCCTCTAGGACAATACAGAGAAACCCTGTCTCCAAAAACCAAAAAAAAAAAAAAAAAAAAGTAAGTATATGCAATTTTTTTCTTTTTCTTTCAAGACAGGATTTCTGTGTGTAGCCTGGCTGGCCTTGAACTCAGAGATCCGCCTGTCTCTGCCTCCCAATTGCTACACTACTACCTGGCATAAATTCAATTTTTAAAAATTTATTTATTTGCTTGCTTGTTCATTCATTCATTCATTCATTCATTCATTTATGGTAGGGCCAGTTGAGACAGGGTCTCAGTATATAGCTCTGACTGGCCTGGAACTCACTCTGTAGTGGAAGCTGACCTGGAATTCAGAGATCCACCTGCCTCTGTCTCCCCAGTGCTGGAATCAAAGGCATGTACCGCCACACCCAGCTTAGTTTGGTTTTAGTAGGGGGGCTTAAATTTAAAAAAAAAAAAAGATGGTGTCAGAGCAGATATGGTGATGATTATGGATAATCCTAATTCTTGGGAGGCAAAGGCAGGAGAAATGTAACAAGTTAGAAGTCACTAGGTCTATATGGCAAGTTCCAGGCCAGCCAGGGATACAAGTGACACCCTATCTCCAGAAAGAGAAACACTTGAAAAAGCATGCCTACACTAGACATGCAAATAATCCCAGCACTTGGGAGGTTGAGGCAGAAGGACCGCTATGAGTTTGAGGCTACACTGGGTCATATATTGAGTTTTGGGACATAGTGAGTTATAGTGTAGCCTTTTTTTTTTTTTTTTTGGTTTCAAAAATATAGAATAGCTAATGGGACAGTGGTAGTGCATATTTTTAATCCCAGCACTCAGGAGGCAGAGCAAGTAGATCTTTGTGAGTTGGAGGTCAGCCAGGGCTATGCAGAGAACCCCTGTCTTGAAAAACCAAATACATATGCATTTATATACATTTGAGACACATACATGCATGCAGCTAAGGGCAGTGGAGGGAGGTCAGGATTAGGACCAGAAATTCAAGGTTACCCTCAGTTCCACAACAATTTCCAGACCAGTCTGGGTGAAAAGAGAATTTGTATCTATCAAACAGGCAGACAGTGCTCAGCGTCCTGTAACACAGTGTGGTCGGAAACTCCTAGATTAAGCAGCTCTCCTGCCTTAGGCTCCCCAGCATCTGACGCTATGGAACACGACACTGTGCCCAACTCAAGCATCTATTTTCAGTTAAATTCAAATGGGTTTCATTTGCTGGACTGTTGTTTCTGAGCTAGGATCTTACCCTGTAGCCCAGGCTGGACTCATTCTTGTCTCAGTTTTCAAAGCACTGGGATTTTGGGCAAACATTACTAGGGCAGCCAAACATCCTTTACTTGGTTTTATTTATTTGTTTGTTTGTTTGTTTGATTGATTGATTGATTGATTTTTTTCTTTTTCTTTTTTTTTGGTTTTTCGAGACAGGGTTTCTCTGTGGCTTTGGAGGCTGTCCTGGAACTCGCTCGGTAGACCAGGCTGGTCTCGAACTCACAGTGATCCGCCTGCCTCTGCCTCCCGAGTGCTGGGATTAAAGGCGTGCGCCACCAACGCCGGGCTGATTTTTTTCAAGAAAGGGTTTCTCTGTGTAACATCCCTGGCTGTCCTGGAACTTGCTCTGTAGACCAGGCTGGCCTTGACCTACAGAGATCTGCCTGCCTCTGCCTCCAGAGTCCTGGGATTAAAGGCCTGCACCACCACCGCCCGCTTCTTTACTTATTTGTTTTAAAGATGTACTTATATGTTACCTGTATTTGTTTGCATGTCTGTCTCTGTACTTCACACATGCAGTGCCCATATAGGTCAGAAGAGAGTATTGGGTCCCCTGGAACTGGAGACAGTTGTTAGCCACCATGTGGGTGCTGACAACAGAGGCCAAGTCCTCTGGAAGACCAACCTGTTATCTTGACTACTGAGCCATCTCTCCAGACTAAGCTCGAGTTCTTCAAATGCCTCCCTAGGCTAGGCATGACAGTGCACACCAGGAACAATGCCACTTGGGAGGCTAAGGCAGGATTGCCTGCTTGAAGCTTGCCTATAGCTACATAGCAAGTTCCAGACCAGGATGGGTTATATAACAAAAAAATGGGCAAACCCAAAACAAATCTAGACTGACTATTACCATTATCAGGACCTAATGAAAGTGGCTATGTCAATCAGCTGTCATACTACTTCAAACAACACTCAAATGACTACCATCCCGAGCAGCACTGAGGTCAAGACAAGCATGCTCTACTAGATTAGATAGCTGGCCAGGTCATTTAGGCCACACTAGTGTCTCCCCGGTTTCACTTTATTCCTTCATTTGTCTCTTGATGGCAAAAGCAATGCTTGATTTTAGCTATAAGGAAAATAGGGGGCCGGGTGTTGGTGGCGCACGCCTTTAATCCCAGAACTCGGGAGGCAGAGGCAGGTGCATCTCTGTGAGTTTGAGGCCAGCCTGGTCTACAAAGTGAGTTCCAGGACAGCCTCCAAAGCTACAGAGAAACCCTGTCTCGAAAAAAACAAAAACAAAAACAAAAACAAAAGAAAATAGGTTAGGAGCCATTTAAAAGAATAAGAAGGACTGGGGAGATGGCTCAGCAGTTAAGAGCACTGGCTGCTCTTCCAGAGGACCTGGATTTGACTCCCGGCACCCACATGACAGCTCACAGTTGTCTAACTCCAGTTCCAGGGGATACAATGCCCTCTTCAGGCCTCCACAGGACCCAGGTGCAAAAGTGGTACAAACATAATGCAAGCAAAGCATCCATATACATAAAATTCTTATTAATTAAATTAAAAGATACATTCCTGTGGGGATAGAGAGATAGGCACATGCATGCATTATTAAAGAAAAAAAAAGCGCCGGTGTTGGTGGTGCACATCTTTAATTCTAGCACTCAGGAGGCAGAGGCAGGCGATCTGTGATCTGTGAGTCGAGGCCAGCCTGGTCTACAGAGAGAGTCCAGGACAACCTCCAAAGCAAACCCTGTCTCAAAAAACAAAAACACAAAACAAAAACAAAAACAAAAAAAGAGAAAAGAAAAAAAGCAAATAAGAAAACAATGCTGGAGCCAAGGCATTGGTGGTGCACAGACTGACTTCCAGGACAGGCTCCAAAGCTACACAGAGAAAACCTGTCTCGAAAAATACAAAAAAAAAAAAAAAAAAAAAAAAAAAAAAAGAAAGAAAGAAATAAAGGACGGATAGGGAGATAGTTCAATCGATTAAGAGCACTGGCTGGTTTTTGGGGGGCTTTTTTGTTTTCTTTTTTTTTCCAGACAAGGTTTCTCTGTGTAGCTTTGTAGACCAGGCTGGCCTTGAACTCACAGATATCTGCCTGCCTCTCTCCTACGTGCGCCACCCCCTCCCTCCATGCACTAGCTGCTGTTGCAGAGGACCTGGGTTCAATTCCCAGCAACCAAATGGCTGTGCACAACCATCTAACTCCCACACTAGGGTATGTGATGTCTCTTCTGCTCTGCATGGGCTCTTGGATGCACATGGTGCACATAATACATATACTTAAAATATCTTTAGAGTAATAATAAAAGGATAAGGAAAATGCTCACCAGTGTCACGGAGATCACTAGCTTTGGTCCTGGCCCGGCTGGCTTTGGCACTGTCATTGCCATGTGGGTCATCTTCATTGGTGAACAGCATGATCCTCTTGTGACTCATCTTGACCTGGACGTCACTGAAGAGGTTGGCACAGACCCAGAGCACTTCACTCAAGGAGTAATCAGATCCATGGCCAATTGTGTCTTGGAAATGTTTTTTTCCCTGTTGTCCCTTAAACTGGTCAAGCTCTAGCACACGTTTAGCACCTGATAGGAGTCAAAGTGGGCAGAGAAACAAGACCATCAGCACCATCATTTCAGGCTAACGGAGGCCTCTTCACCCAACCACTATGTAACTAGCGTGGAAGTCCAACAGGGACTTTCTGTACGGGGCCATGATCAAAGCTGCTTCCTCCTCCAGGGCCCTCTTTTGTTTCAGCTTCATGATGTTCTCACACAAAGGAACCATGCTTGAGTTACTGACCTGGGTTATCCAAATCTTGTAAGACATAAATATTTTTGAAATTCACTGAGTTTTTGTCTTTCTTGGTACCATAGAACACCACTCCCAAGAGATCTCGGTTGCTGCTTATGATCTTACTGGTGTACACACTCTGAATACACTGAAAAAAATAAAAATTCTCTTAGTGTTTACTTAACACTGAGCTTCTGTAAGTGCCGGGGGTAGCAGACATTTAGTATTTATGAGCTGGGGCTAGGAAATGGAACTCAGCTGGGAGAGTACTTTCCTGGTTTACACAGAGCCGTAGGTTCAATTCCAAGTGACACATAAACCAGGCTTGGTGGCACATGCCTGTCACCCCAGCAAATGGAAGGTGGAGGTAGGAGGCTGTAAGAGCTCCCCATCTCAGGGGAGGGCACGGGAGGAGGGGAGGGAAAAGGAGAGAGACCTGGAACTGACTTGTGAAACAACCTTGTTTCTTATCTAAATTTAAACTGAAAAAAAAAAAAAAGAGCGCCCGTCATGGTGGGTTTATGCAGTGCTGGCGACTGAACTCATGACTTTATGCACGGTGGGCATATTCTACCAATTGAGCTACATTCCCAGGACCCAGTATGTTTTTCATTTTACATGTAATACACACTAAGAGCAGAATTACTATCCCAGCAGAAGCAGGTGGATCTCTGTTGGGGAAGTCCTGTGTATTTGTCAATAAAGCACTGTTGGCCAATAGCGAACTAAGATAGGTGGGACTAGGAGTCCAGGAGGACCCTGGGAAGGAGAAACACAGGGAGTCAAGATGTAACGCCATGGGGTAGGAAGCCCGGAAACCTCTCCGGTAAGAGAAATACTTAGATTAACAATTATAGGGTAATTACTTAAGGCAGAGCTAGCCAGTAACAAACAAGCAAAGCCAACAGCTTCATAATTAATATAGCCTCCTGTGTGTTTATTTGGGACTGATGCGGCTCTAGAACCAGGCTGGCGGGAAGGCTTCTCTCAAGAAAAAGGCTTCCCTTTACAGATCTCCATTGAGTTCAAGGCCAGCCTGGTCTAGAGAGTGAGTTCCAGGACAGCCAGGGATATGACACAAAGAAATCCTGTCTCAAAAAAAAAAAAAAAAAAAGGGTAGAATTACTGAGCCACACAGCAATTCACAGCAATTCTAAGTCTGTATCTTTGAGGAACGACTCAGTCACACCAGCTTCACTCTTTCACATTCTTTTTTTCTTTTTTTTTTTTAAGATTTTATTTTAGCTGGGTGGTGGTGGCTTTGATCCCAGTACTCAGGAGGCAGAGGCAGGCGAATCTCTGAGTTAAAGGCCAGCCTGGTGTACACAAGAGTTCCAGGTTTCCAAGTCAGCCAAGGCTACACAGAGAAACCCTGTCTCTAAAAAAAAAAAAAAAAAAAAAAATTAACTTATTTATTTATTTATCTGGTTTCTTTGAGACAGGGTTCTCTACATAGCCCTGGCTTGTCCTGGAATTCACTATGTAGACTAGGTTGGTCTTGAACTCAGAGAGATCCACTGCCTCCTGAGTCCTTGGGATTAAAGGCATGTGCCACCATGCCCGGTCTCTTTCAGCATTCTTTTTTTTTTTTTTTTTTTTTTTTTTTTTGGTTTTTCGAGACAGGGTTTCTCTGTGGCTTTGGAGGCTGTCCTGGAACTCGCTTGGAAGTTCAGGCTGGTCTCGAACTCACAGAGATCCGCCTGCCTCTGCCTCCCAAGTGCTGGGAATAAAGGCGTGCTCCACCAACGCCCGGCTCTTTCAGCATTCTTAACAGTACTTATGTTTGCTATCTTTGAAGAAATGTCTACTCAAGTCCTTTGTCCCCCACCAGCCCCCTTTTACAGGCAGAATCTCATGAAGCCCAGGCTGGCTTCAAACTTGAATATGTAGCCAAGGATGACCTTGAACTTCTGACTCTCTTGCTTCCACCCCCAAATGCAGGAAATACTGGTGTACATCACCAACCCAGTGTCTTCCACTTGTTAGGCAAGCACTCTGCCAACTGATCTATATCCCTAGTTCTCTTTTGCCCATTTTAAAACTGCATTGTAATTGTTTACTACAAGTAATTTTCAACTCTCAGGTTTCACTTGCAAAAAGACTTATGTACTTGTGTGTGCAGGGGGGGGGGGGTCTCAACCACTGAGCCAGCCTCAAAAGGACCTCATCCACACTATTGAAAGGAGTAAACTAAACTCAAAGGTTTCACTTCTAGTAACTTAGAAATGAAGGGACCAGACCCTCACTCAGCCCCTGCTTTAGCAGCAATGACAGGTACAGAAAAGACACATAGGCCTCTGACACAAGGAAACTCCAGATCCCCTGGCCTCCCAGAGCCTAGGGCCAAAACTGAACACAAAGAAACTCCAGACACCCCCCCCCCGCAGCCTCCTAGATACTTAGTTCCTGGAAACTGTTTGGCCACAAAAGGAAACTCCAGGGGAGAACAAAACCTCCTCTGTAGTCTCCAGGACACAGTTCTGAAAACTATTGGTATCTATGAACAACAGGCCACCTGCAAGTAACAAGACAAAGCCATAGAAACCACAGAATGTTCCCTCTCAGCACTGACCAATGAAAATAATTGGTACACAGGTATTTCATGCCAAAATATGACTCTGAGAAATTCTCGTAATTGTTCCCAAATGTCAACCAATCAGTAACCAATCCGTACCTACTGATGTAATCCTGTAACTTTTGTCTTTAAAACCTAGCAGTGGGGGCTGGAGAGATGGCTCAGCAGTTAGGAGCACTGACTGTTCTTCCAGAGGTCCTGAGTTCAATTCCCGGCAGCCACATGGTGGCTCACAACCACCTTGAATGAGATCTGGTGCCCTCTGCTGGCATGCAGGCAGAAGACTGTATACACAATAAATAAATTAAAAATATACATATAAAAAAAAAACTAGCAGTAGACAGGGAATTTCACTCTCTCTGGAGGCTGCTGTGACAACCAGACAGAGTCCTTGTCATAAGTGGATGAACAATCATTAAACCTTTTGCAACTCTGTCTTCCTGATGGTCTCTGGGGATCTTTGCAAGTTGGGCACAACTATAACAGCAGTACTTGATTTTACAATCCAACTCTGAGAACCCACTTCTACCTTCCCAAAGCTAACACAGATGGTGGGAGAAATGCATTCCCTAGGACACCCAGAATAAAATGGAGGGTGTCCTCCAACATGACCAGTCTCATCAGATGCAAGTACTATTCACCATCAACATACAAACTTTAAAGTGGTTATTTGTGAGAGGTGGAAAATGGTTCATCAGTTAAAAGTACAGAGGACTCGGGTTCTATTCCCAGTACCCATATGGTGCCTCACAATCGTCAGTAACTCCAGGTCTGGGTATCTGAAACCCTTTTTGGCATCCTCTGGCATAAAGCATACAAGTGGTACACAGACATACCTGCAGACAAAACACCCATATACACAAAATAAATAAAATTTTAATTAAATGAATTTTAAAAATAAATAAAAATGGCATTTGCTGGGTATAATGGTACATATCTATAATTCTAGTATTTGGGAGATGTTGAAAGGATTTTAAGGTCATTCTTAGGTACAAAGTAAATTTTGAGGCTAGCCTAGGCTACATGAGACACTCAACTTTAAAAAAGTAGTATTAGGGCCAGAGAGATGTCTCAGTGGTTGGTTAAGAGCACATATTGCTCTTGCATAAGATCCAAGTTCAATTCCCAGCACCCATATCAGGCAGCTCACAAATCCAGTTCCAAGTGATCTGATACCCCTCCGACCTATACAAACACACACACACATACATACACACACACACACATAATTTAAAAATATCCAGGCAGTGGTGGCACAGTTCTTTAATCTCAACACTCGGGGAGGCAGTGGTAGGCAGATCTGTGAGTTCCAGGACAGCCAGGGCTGTTACACAGAGAAACCCTATCTCAGGAAACAAAACAATTTAAAGTGGCATTAATTTTCCTTTTCCTGTTTTGCAGAGTCTCACTATGTCGCTCCAGCTGACTCTGAAGTCACACCTTTCCCACTGCAGCCTCCAAGACAGACCACAAGCCACCATTCCCAGACCTTCTTCGGAGACTGGACGGGACAAGGGGGGGGGTTGTACACATTAAGAGTGATCTCACCAAAAAGGGGATTCTGGACCCCACGTGAGTCCTGTCAGGCCTAGGACCAGTGTGGATACTGTAGGCTTAAGCCAGTCGGTCAGGAACAAATTTATTCCTAAGGTTCTGACCTGATTATCACACAGCACCTTACCCACCCACATTCTGCTCCAGGGGCTTCTCCCTATTTTCTGTCTTAGTGTTTTGAGACAGGTTCTCACTATGTAGCCTTGGCTGTCCTGGAACTAGCTGTATAAACCAGGCTGGTGTCAAACTTGGAGAGCTGCTTACCCTTGCCTCCCTAATGGGATACAACATGAGCGCCACCATGCCCACACCCAATTTTATGAGTTCAATAATCAGGCAGTCTTACCTGTATGCTCATATCAAAAGGTGTAACTTCATCTTCACCCTGAGAGTCAAACATAGCCCTGGAGGCATCAAGCAGAAAAATCAAACTATCTCTTCCTGAATATTTATATTCTCCTATGGGGAGACAAACGGAATAAGAGTTTACCTTTTGCATCATACTTAAGTTTATCACTCACACAAAACAAAGAGCCCACAGAGCAAACGTGCACCCTGACAATCATTACACAGTGAACACATTTAAACCCACCACTCCTGTCAGGACACCGAGTCCTGCCAAGCATCCTCGGTCTTCCCTACATTCTTCCTATGTCTCCTCAAAGGAAACTACTCTCTTGATTTTTTTTGTACTCATTCCTTTATTTTTCTTTATAGCATGTGTGAGAGCCTGGGTTCAATCTCCAACACTAAAGTACATGCACTACACATATAAAGTTCATCTAAGTAGCCGGAAGGTGTGGCACAAGCATTTAATCCCAGCACAACACAGCCAGGGCTAGACAGAGAAACCCTGCATCAAACAGGAAGGAAGGAAGGAAGGAAGGAGAAACAAAAAATCATTTAAGTATATATCTCAAATCATTAGTTTCAAGTTCTTATTTTTATTTCCTTGGAAAATTTTTTATTAAATGTATGCATTTTATGTGTGAATGTTTTGCTTACGTGTAAGTATGTGCATGCTTAGTTTGCTCCCAGAGGTCAGAAGAGAGCATCAGGACCCTTATAAATAGAGTTATAGATGATTGTGAACGGCCATGTGGGTGCTGGGAATAAACCCAGGTCCACTGGAAGGGCAGCCAGTGCTCTTAACCACTGAGCCATCCATCTGTCCAGCTTCAGGAGTCGCATATCTTTCTGGAGATGAGGGAGGTTTCATAGTACAGTCTTGAAGTTGGGCTCTGATCCTAGGCAAGAGGAAAGGTGGAGAGCAGGGTGTGTAGCCACCAACAGCTGCTTTATGTAAACTCACATCCCAGGAGCCACAGGCAGCTCAAAGTCAATGTCGGTTACAGTTTGAAGTCGGCCTGGTCTAAGTGAGACCGAATCTCAAAAATACATAGCTGGGCAGTGGTGGCACACACCTTTGATCCCAGCACTCGGGAGGCAGAGGCAGGTGAATCTCTGTGAGTTTGAAGCCAGCCTGGTCTACAGCGCGAGTTCCAGGACAGCCTCCAAAACAATACAGAGAAACCCTGTCTCAAAAAAAAAAAATACACTTGCTGCTCTCTTGCAGGTGATCCCGTTTCCTTTCTCAGTGCCCACGGGGTTGCTCACAACCACCTGTAACACTCTTCTGATTCCTTTTTGTACCAGGCATGTATGTACATGGTGCTCGCACACACACACAAAATAAAAAGATTTTTTAAAACAATCAAAAATATGTAGATAAAGTGACACAAATTATCACAGATATTATCACTGATTGGAGATTAATAGAAAAATCTATTAGTGACTAGTAAAAAATTTAGGGTTAGAAATGTTCACAGATTGGAATAGGACCTAAATGGCTCCGCAAAAACCAAAGGGGGGTAAATATTTTAGATGATCTGGGGAGAAAAGGAAGAACTATCAGACAGCAAAGTGCTCCCAGCCAAAAAAAAAAAAAAAGTAAAGAAAGTCTTCCACACAGACCACACTACGTGATGAAGATACTTACCACCTGGGTCAGGGGTCTCCTCCTCTTCTTCCTCTTCCTCGCCCTCGGTTTTGTAGTAGGATTCCCACCCTGACATGTTGGTTTGCTCACTGGGTGAACAACAAACAAATTTAAAAAGAAAAAACACCGAGGAAAAGTACTTGTGTGCCAAGCGCGCTTACCGACCGAGTGTCAGGTCTTGCGCTACACAAGAAAAAAATAAGAGAAAATCGACTTCTGGGTATGCGGGTCACTAATGAGGAATGTGAATGATGGTTCCTGCCACCTCCAGAGCTCTTGGTGCTTAGAGGGAGCAGAGGATACGAGCATGGGGATCATTCCAGCTGCAACATCCCCCTGGCTATCTCTTGAGGAAGCTGCAGGACCAAAGTGGCTGGCGTTAGGGGGCGGGGTATAATGGAGCGAGCCCGCTCTGAAGGTCTCATCTCCAGCGCCACCTAGACTGGAGGGTGCCGGGTGCTCCGGCGAAAACCCTCGTCTTCCATTTCTCCCACATCTCTCCCCCAACCATCAGTCAAGAACGCCCAGAGAAGTCTCAGCCACTATGCCACGCCCCGGGGAGAAAGGAGGGACCCACAGTGTGTCCGGCGCTGCTCTGCTGCGAAGCACGGAGCCGCGCGACACTGAGGTGACAGGCCAGGCCACGGCAGGCCGCACCCAACACTTAACAGTACAGCCGACCTACCTTTGCAGCAGGTGAGCGAGCCACAGGGACAGAAGGCGGGCACCACGTCCACGCGGGCTCCAGCTCTCTGTCTAATCAACGACGCATACGTCAGCACGTACAACACGCCCTTCTATCCGTCACGCGGACACGCCCATGCCCATCCCGGACTTCCACCCCTGTTCCTGAACTGGATCGCACGCGGGCAGGGAAAGCCCCGCCCCTCCTTTGAAGCCCCGCCCCCGCAGCCCGTCAGCGCCGAACGCACATGCGCCAAGTGCGTCCCCGCCCCCGCTCCCGGTTCCGTGCGGAGTCTCCGCGATCTCTCTGTCACCTCACAGTAGTCGTTGCTGGTTGCGGGCGCGGGGGCGCGAGTAGCGCAGGGCCGCCTCTCCCCCGCCCTCAGGCCGGGCCCGGGCTCGGTCCCCCGCTCCCTCCTCTCCCCACCCCGGTCGGGAACCGGAAGGTCCAAGCCGCTGCCGGGTGCCCGAGGGCCATCGTGGCCGCAGCCACGGGTCCTGATGGAGCCGCCAAATCTCTATCCGGTGAAGCTCTACGTGTACGACCTGTCCAAGGGCTTGGCCCGGCGGCTCAGCCCCATCATGCTGGGTGAGGGGACTGGGATCAGTGGGAAGAAGGCAGGTGGTCGCTCCCAGCGCCCTGCCAGGACGGGAAGGGGGGCCCACGGGTGAGTGGAGTGGGGTCCCCTGAGCCCCTTTTCCAGCTTCTTGATGGAATCCAAGGAGACACACACGCTCTCCTTGCAGGACTCTGTCTGGGAGCAAGCCCTTCAGCTAGGCTCTAGGGTAAGCCGACTGATCTTGGCGGGTTCCCTGGCTTCTTGGGGAACCCCGTCTACACTCCTTCTTTGGCTCAAAGTCGAGAAAGTGGGGTTGCCTCCCGCGCGTGTCCCTGGTGGTGGAAGCAGCACTGCAGAGGAGATTCTCTGGTGGCCCTCGGAGTCGCTGCCCTCCGCGCCAAGCGGAGACTCCCTCAGCAGTCCTTGGAGTGGATGGGAAGGGAGCGCTCGAGCGGCAGAGGGCCCTAGCCCTCGCCTGTTCCAGTTTAGGTCGGGTTAAGTCAGCCTGAAGCAGAACTCGAAACTAATCACATTCTGTCCGACAATCCAGTCTTCGCTCAAGAGTTCATTGCTTTTGACCAGATGGTGAAAAAAGTAACTCTGGGGAGGCCGGCATGGTGTATCAGGATTAGTAAAGGGAGGTATTTCGTTTGTGCTCAGTTCGAATGTCTTAATACTAAGAGTGTAGGTCCAACTTCGTTTCAAGCCAGATACCAAAATGTCTGTGTCATATAGGACTTGTCAGGCTTGTCATTTCAGGTAATGACGGACAGGAAAGGATTTCGGGGATTGAAAATGACATAGTTTTGTATCGTTCATTTGAATAGCTAGTATTCCCAGCGAAAAGCTTCGTTCTTCTCAGGGAGGACAAGGGGCAGAGGTCAAGGAAGCTAGGCAACTTTTGAGGACATCCATTTGTGATGTGTCACTGAGTTGAGCTTAATCCTTCAGCCCTGGGCCAATGAGTGGTTTCTAAATTTGGCTTCACACCAGAGTCATCTAGAATGTTTGTTAAAAACACACCTAAGTACACAGCTCACTCGCTGGTAGAGTTCTTGCTTGGCGTGCTTCAAGCCCTGGGATTGATCTCTAGTCCTGAAACAAAAAACAGATGTGTTTATTTCCAATATACTTTGTCAAATGGAATTGAAAAAAGGGAAAACTGTTAGAGCCAATATTTAGCTAGATAGAGCCTAACTGATATAATCTACTAAACAACTCTAATATCCCCCAATCACTAAAGAAGTCTGGGACATTGTGCTTTCAGATTTGCCTTATTTCTTCTTAAATGTGCTGGAACTCAGGCCTTGAGTGAAACACACCTGTAATCCTAGTACTAAGGAGGCTGAGGCAAGAGGGCTGTGGGTTCGAGACCAGTAACGTAGGCTACATAGCCTAGTCCTACATAGTGTTAAAAAAAAGAAAGAAAACAGAGACAGAGATGAGGTTAAAACAGTTCCTCTACCAAAGAAACTGGTGACCAGAAGCTTATGGAAGCCAACACAGAGTGAAAAGGAAACTTTACCCTAAGCTTTACTTACTGTTTAAATACCTGTACACATCTGTAAACTTTAAATGCATAAATCATAGAGCCATGCTTCACAAACACTAAACCAGGATTTTGGGAAATCTGTATTTTTAATGAGTTTTTCATTGTGTAGCCAACCGAGTCCATTGTTAGTGATTTGGACCCAGGTCATGGGTTGTTGGCAGGGCTTAGGGTCCAGGTATGACTCAGTGGTAGAGGCCTTACCTAACATGCAGAAGGCCTGAGTTCAGTCTCCAGCACACCTAAAAAGAAAGTAAGGCGAATCTGAAAGCAAGGTCCCAGTCTACTGACTGGAGGACATTTGAATTGTTAGTAGATTATATCAGTCAGGTTCTAGCTAAACTTTGGACTGCAGCCATTTGTTTAGTTTTATCATAGGAAGGCATTGTTTGTCTCCTAGACTTCCCCCTTATACTGGCTATCCTTTTGTCCTAATACCAAAAGAACTATTATTTTTAGCTGAAAGAGACACTAGAGATTGTTGTTTCATTCATTAAGCAAATATTGAAGGAAGGGCTTAGCATATGCTGATGTTTAATGTATTAATGTTTAACAGAAGTGTGTAGAACCAACAGAAATGTTTGCAATTGTAGAGCTGGTTAGTGTGAGATAGATAGATAGATAGATAGATAGATAGATAGATAGATAGAAATTCTGATCTGTGCTGAATACCAAGATAGAAAATAATATGAACTCAATTTTAAATAAGTGTTTCAGAAGCTATGATTTTTAAGCTGAAAATATAGGATGAGAAAGAAGCAACCATCCATGGAAGGTGATGAGGAAGTTAGATTACTTTAAATAAAAGGATTGACCAGCAAAGATCTAGAGTAGGAAAGCCTGGCTGTGGAGAGGCTGAAAAATGCCTCTGTGGAGTGTGGTTGTAAAGGGGGAAGTACATAAGCAGGTGAAGTAATAGACTCGACACCCTTAACCTTTGGGACTTGAACCCAGGCACTTCGAGTATACTGGGCAAGCGTATACTGAGCTACATCCCTAGCACCCCTGTCCTTTTAAATAGATGTGATGCTTTAGAAGACATCAGCCACACATGAAACTTCACTAATTTGGCACATCAAAGGTTATAGCCTTGCCACAAATTTAATTTTCCCTTTTCCTGTATTGTTTTATTCCCTTTTACAGAATGAAGAAAGAGTTAGCAAAAATCATAGTCATTATTTTCTAGAGCTTAAAACATTTAGGAACAGTCATAGCACTCTGAGGCAGGAGGATTAGTACAAGTTTGAGGCCAGCTGGGGCTACAGAGTAAGGACCTGTCTCTGAGAAGCAAACACAGGGTCTAGAAGCAGTGAGTTGTTGTTACTGGTTTTTTTTTATTGCTTTATAGAGCAGGCTGTCCCTCTCTGAGATCTGCCTGCCTCTGCCTCTGCCTCTGCCTCTGCCTCTGCCTCCTGAGAGCTGGGATTAAATGTGTGCTCAGACGGTGCTCTAGTTGTACTCAGTAAATTCTTCTTTGAAAATAAACTGCTGGATGTTGGTCATAGTGGTGAAAGCCTTTAATCCCAGCACTTGGAAGGCAGAAGCAGGTGAGTCTTTGTGAGTTCGAGACTGGGTTGGTCTATATAGCAAATTCCAGAACAGCCTGGCCTATGAAGAGAAATTCTGCCTCAAAAATCAAAACTAAAATAAAATGAATCAACTGTAGAGTAGGCTCCACACTTATGAACACTTGCTGCTCTTGCAGTGAGTGTGGATTCAGTTCCCACCAACAGCTGTGTAACTCCAGGTTCAGGGGACCAGACACCCTCTTCTAGCCTTTGTAAGCACGTAGTGTAAGTACACACAACTAGACACACACAAACCAATCAATCAGTAAGCAAACCAAAGGGCTGGAGAAATGGCTCAACGGTTAACAGTGCTTGCTGCTCTTACAGAGAACTGGAGTTCAGTTCCCAGCACCCACATCTAGCACTCACAACCACTACTACACCCATAATTCAGGGTGATTTGACACCCTCTTCTGGCCTCTGTGGGCACTTGTACACACATATACTCATGCTTGCACGACACACACACACACACACACACACATATACACACAAATACTTTTTACAAAAGCAAAAATAACCCCCCCTTTAAAAAAAAAGTGGAAATAGGCACTTTCTGTTCTTCCCTTTCAGGTACCACCAACCTTAAAGTTGGATATACCCTAATTCAGTTAGTTCCATATATTGATTTCTCATCCCTAAATAAACTTTAAAAAAAATGTGTGGACCATCAGATTAAGGCACTGTCCCCAAGCCTGACAAACTGCCTTTGGTCCTAAAACTTAAGGAGAGAACCAACTCCAGCAAGTTGCTTCTCACCACCACATGTGCAACATTCTGCACCCATGCATACACACACAGAAGTAAGTGTTTACTTAATTTTTAAAGAATTCTAAAAGAATATAGCAGAGTAGATGAGAACTTGCCAACCCTCTACCCCTTTTCCTGAGTTGCATATACTAGAATCCTTATCACACCTCTGTGAAATAGGTCGTGATATTTGCCTCAAGTCACACCGCAGTTGGTGGCAGAGCTGGGTTACAGGCACATCTTATTTCACCACCATTTTGCTAATGCCAGCTGTCCAAGGTAATGTTGCATTATGACTGATGTAAAGTGGGTTCCTTGTTCAAAGGTCCAAAGGTGTCCTTGGACAGACATCTCAAGACTGACTCTGTGTGTGTGCTACTCTTCTAGCCTTGTGCCCATCCCAAAGCAAACTCATGTCACACTTTGGTCATGTAAGTTTTCTATTGTAAGATCTTATCCACCGGCTGCAGAGATGGCTCAGTGGTTAAGAGCACATACCGTTCTTGCAGAGGACCTGTTCCCAGCACCCATTTCAGCGAACTCACAACTGCCTGTAACTCCAGCTCCAGGGATCTGACACCCCTCTGACCTCCACGTGTGTACACTTGTACGCATAAATGATAATAAAGTTACTTTTAGAAATAATAACTTCAGGGCTGGAGAGATGGCTCAGAGGTTAAGAGCACTCACTACTTTCCAGAGGTTCTGAGTTCAATTCCCAGCAACCACATGGTAGCTCACAACCGTCTGTAATGAGATTAGTAATCTCATATGGCTTGCATGGATGCAGGTAGAAAACTGTATACATAATAAATAACTCTTTAAAAATAATAATAATAACTTCAAGACCTTATCCAATTCTGTCCCAGCTCATGATTGGCTTAAATAACACAGATTTATTTAGACTTCACCAAATTATCCTGCCCTTTTGTTGTTGTTTTTGTTTTTTGTTTTTCAAGGACAGAGTTTCTCTGCATAGCCCTAGATACTCTGGAATTCACTCTGTAGGTTAGGCTGACCTCAAACTCACAGAGATCCACCTGCCTCTGCCTCATGAGTGAGTGCTGGGATTAAAGGCGTGCGCCACCACTGTCTGGCTATTCTGTCCTATTATTATTATTATTATTTTAGTTTTATTTATGTGTGCCTATATACCACATGT